TGGTGTGCTAGTGGCTTTACAAGAATGTTAATTCAACTTATTTTCTATATTCTCTATCAACCCCCAATGTAACTTCTTGTATATAAATAAAGCTTATATGGCCAATGACATCCTTTTGGGGCCTGTTTAAGTGTTCCATCGTCTAGAGATGGTCCCATTGGTCCTGTTGGCTCGAACCTATTTCTACTTATACTTTTTTTTGTAAATTAACACTAGATTAACGAAATGCTAAAGGCTAGATAAACATTGTCTATACGACGCTAATTATCTATTACGGTGTCTACTCTTATCTTCTCCCTTCTCACCCTCGCACTTCTCCAACAATCCTCACTATCTTACCCTAGTCCCCTCTGGAGTTGCCACAACGGTCAGAAAGTGGTGTACTAACACGCTAGAACCTAACCTGTCGACCACGCATAACAAATCTTGAGTGATTGTGAGCCACAGTGATTTATAGTCCCCCTGTATTTGTTCCTTGGGGGATTTTGACGGCAAAATGCAGGTTTTTTTTTTCGAGAGGACAGGTTGGAAAATCTTTAAGAATATGAGAAGTAGAGTAGAGGCAGGGATGAGTGGTTATTGGTTATTGGTCTTGGTTAATACCAAGCTTAACTCTGGTCTTATCTGGGAGGTCACGTATCTTACACGGTATCTTCCTATGCTGTAGTGGCGGTACCTTTGGTGTGAAGTTCTATACCTGCCCCCAGTTATCACACGGCTGATAGCCACCTTTGTGGTCGGCTCTGGCAAGACAAAAAGAAAATGTTCTTTAAGTTCTAGATTAGTGACACTCGGTGGCTGTAATGTGACAGCTTCTCCTGCTTGCTGGCGATATTACCTTTATTTTTTTACCGTAGCCTAATTCATATTTTGTCCCATGCTTAAATTAGGTCATTTTGGTTTTAAATTTCACATGAGTTAATATTAATCAAACGTAAGGAAAATAATGATGACTTTATGATAGGATCAACTCTACCGATCTCACCTCGTGTATAACATATTGAATTACACAAAAACATGTGGAATTTTTCAACATGTAGAAATGCATATTGCAGAACTGTCAATCCCCTGCCTGCCTGCCTGCCTGCCCCTCCCTTGCCTGCCTGCCTGCCCCTCTCTTGCCTGCCTGCCAACCAGCCAGCACCACTGCCAATACTCACGCCCGCCTCCCCCATCTATGCCACCCTAACTCACTGAACCAATTCAGTGGTTTATAATGTGTTAATCTGCTAGTTTCTTATGTGGAGTATGTTTTTATTTGGGACCTTGCACACGTGTCTACAACGACGGAGTAAAGTTTGTAACGTGTAAGACACATGGACGGGAGCTTATCAAATTATATCAAATTCAAAACCTGCCTCAGGATATGTGTTGCGTATGCTTCATACAGTGTTGTGCTTGTGGCTGTGTATGGCTGAAGGGGTGTATGCTTGAGGAAGCATACACAATGTGGATAAATATTCACATTTAGGCATGTAAGGATGCGAATCACATTGTACCCAAGACGGCTCGCTAAGAAACCAATATTAAAACCTAACCTTTATGCCCGAAACGCTTTGCGTAATAGTGGCTTTAGGCATTGTATGTACTAGCTCTATCTATAAGTCCACCAATCTTTGTAAAAAAATTTCTTGTATGTATGTACCTTACCTAAATAAACATTTATTTATTATTTATTAACTCAACAGCCTAACCCAAACCCAACAGCCTAATCTAACCCACCGATTATTATCAAACCAACTTGGGTCGAAACATGTGTATACAATTTGACGGTACTGAAGATGGGGCGAGTAATGCAGTAAGGATGAGATGGGGAACAGTGTTTTAGTAAGAGGTATGCTGTTACAAGAGGAGGGGGGGGGGGGTGGTGGAGGGGGGCTGGTGGGGGTTTGTAGGGGGGTCAGGGACTGATGGGGGGTTTGTGGGGGTGGTGGGGGGGAGAGAGGCGTGGGATGAGAGAGTTTTGGCCCACGCCACACTTAGTTGTGTTGTGGTAGTGAGAGGGTGAAGAAGGTCCAGTGATAATTCCTCTCCTGACGCGCGCCCACAACACCCTCCTTAAACCATTCATCTCTTCATCATGAATCACAATCACGTACGTCATAACAATGCTGTTACCTTGTTCAAAACACATGACACTTTTCCACCCTCTCTGATAGTTCCCTTGTTCAAAACATCCCCCATTCAGAATCACTAACCAATTCTTTCCGGAGCACGTGGTGATGTATTTATTAATTCATAAGGTGAATGTGATATTAGCAAGCAATCATGGACCTTATTATCCTGTGTTTCAAAAGGAATTCAATTGAACTGTACAACAAATTATAAAGTGTTTGATAGCTTAACTTTTCATCAATAGATTAATTACAAAGTGCTGAAGTCAGGAGTGTTGGAATAGTTATTGTGAACATTAATATATTTAGTAGTTATGGTGACTGGTAGTGTACCAGGGTGTATTAGTAGTTGTGGTGACTGGTAGTGTACCAGGGTGTATTAGTAGTTATGGTGACTGGTAGTGTACCAGGGTGTATCAGTAGTTATGGTGACTGGTAGTGTACCAGGGTGTATTAGTAGTTATGGTGACTGGTAGTGTACCAGGGTGTATCAGTAGTTATGGTGACTGGTAGTGTACCAGGGTGTATCAGTAGTTGTGGTGACTGGTAGTGTACCAGGGTGTATTAGTTATGGTGACTGGTAGTGTACCAGGGTGTATTAGTAGTTGTGGTGACTGGTAGTGTACCAGGGTGTATTAGTAGTTATGGTGACAGGTAGTGTACCAGGGTGTATCAGTAGTTGTGGTGACTGGTAGTGTACCAGGGTGTATTAGTTATGGTGACTGGTAGTGTACCAGGGTGTATTAGTAGTTGTGGTGACTGGTAGTGTACCAGGGTGTATTAGTTATGGTGACTGGTAGTGTACCAGGGTGTATCAGTAGTTATGGTGACTGGTAGTGTACCAGGGTGTATCAATAGTTATGGTGACTGGTAGTGTACCAGGGTGTATCAGTAGTTGTGGTGACTGGTAGTGTACCAGGGTGTATTAGTAGTTGTGGTGACTGGTAGTGTACCAGGGTGTATTAGTTATGGTGACTGGTAGTGTACCAGGGTGTATCAGTAGTTATGGTGACTGGTAGTGTACCAGGGTGTATCAGTAGTTGTGGTGACTGGTAGTGTACCTGGGTGTATCAGTAGTTATGGTGACTGGTAGTGTACCAGGGTGTATCAGTAGCTATGGTGACTGGTAGTGTACCAGGGTGTATCAGTAGTTATGGTGACTGGTAGTGTACCAGGGTGTATCAGTAGTTATGGTGACTGGTAGTGTACCAGGGTGTATTAGTAGTTGTGGTGACTGGTAGTGTACCAGGGTGTATCAGTAGTTATGGTGACTGGTAGTGTACCAGGGTGTATTAGTAGTTATGGTGACTGGTAGTGTACCAGGGTGTATTAGTTATGGTGACTGGTAGTGTACCAGGGTGTATCAGTAGTTATGGTGACTGGTAGTGTATATACTGCCCGAACCTAACCTGCCCGAGCACCCACGAATACAAAACTGGACAATCACGTCAATTTTGGGAACAGCTGTGATTTTTAGTTTACCAGTTTCTGGCCGTATGGGATTTACACGTGGAATACGATGTAGTTTTCGAGAGAGCAGATTGGAGCACTTTACCCAAGTACTCACAAGGCTGTGAAGAGTATATTTGGAGAGTATACTTTGAAGATTAGTATCGACTGTATATTATAGACTTTATAAAATACAAGATACACAGGGGGGTGTATCTTGTATTTTATATCCCAGCTGTTTGGCCAGTGGGTGGGTGGGCGGGTGGGCCGAGTTTATTGGGCAGCGCCACTCATCTTGTGAGTGGACACACCGCCATAGTGACAGTATGTACAACACTCCCCAATAGGAAGAAAACCCGCTGGGTTGTTCATCCTGTCCAAAGTGGCCGTAAGTTTTTCTAGTGAATGAAAGATATACTTGAAAACAAAATCTGTGACTAAAACATTTAATGGAAAACATTTTATGAACAGTGACACTGAGTGCCAGATGTATTTTCCTCAGATAAAATCCAATAAGCGTTAGTTTATAAGACATTAATATTCGAACCTCTACGCCTGTTTTCACGTAGGTTTATGTAGACCCGATCGGTCTACCTTGCTATATATACCAAACGTTTACAGACAACAATATTGTACATGTTTAAATTTAGAATTTAAAACCAAAGGATCAATGCATGAATGTTCGTAATAAGGCAAATAGGACACTGGGATTTATTAATCGAAGCGTTAGTAACAAGACACCTGGTGTGGTTCTTCAGCTATATCTTGCTCTGGTTAGGCCCCATTTAGATTATGCAGTTCAGTTTCGGTCGCCGTATTATAGAATGGATATAAATTCACTTGAACGTGCCCAGCGTAGGATGACTAAGTTAATTCCCCAAATTAGAAATCTTTATATGAAGAAAGATTAACAAAGCTGAAATTGCTTTCACTGGAAAGGCGAAGAGTTAGGGGTAACATGATAGAGGTTTACAAGTGAATGAATGGAAATAACAAATGGGATATTAATGGAGTATTAAAAGTATCAACACAAGACAACGCGAAACAATGGGTATAAATTGAATAAGTTTAGATTTAGGAAAGACTTGGGTAAATACTGGTTCGGTAACAGAGTTGTTGAGTTGTGGAACCAATTTCCACGAAACGTAGCGGAGGCGGGGTCCCTCGATTGTTTCAAGCGTGGGTTGGTCATATGAGTGGGAATGGGTGGTTATAGATAGGAGCTGCCTCGTATGGGCCAATAGGCCTTCTGCAGTTACCTTTGTTCTTATGTTCTTATGCAGTTGTTTAAGATTCAGCTACTGGGAACAAAAAGTTCCAAGTAGCACGGGCTATGGTGAGCCCGTAGTGGACTTACCTGGCACAGGAGCGGGGTTGTAACTGTTCCAGTTATTTTCCAGTTATTATGCATTAACAGTTATCTTTTCTGCGCTTCAGGGAAACGGCATGCAGAGGTATGACGATTCGGAGCCGCTTTTCGGCGAGGAAGTGTACCAGTTACTGCGAGATGACTCCCTCTTGCACCGTACAGGCTCCAATAACTTCGCTGCCCTCATAGACTCCTCAGACTCTCTTCACTACCACGACGACACGCAGCTACAACCTCTCGCCTTCCCGCAGGCCGTCACTAGCCAGGTCTTGTCTGGCACTGGTACACCAGGGCTCATCCTCTCTCCTCCTTCACAGCCTCACGAACAACAACACTACACATCACAGCAGCCTACCGAACTTCACTGGGACAGAATAACTGATAACGATGATATTAAGGTAACTATTGTACTTGTCGTCGTATATTGCAGTTTAAACGCCCAACCCACAGTCTCTAAATGAAGGACCGAAACGTCTCTGGGTCATTATTATGACTTGATAATGCCCCAAGACTGACCGAAACGTCCCTGGGTCGTTATCACGACTTGATAATGGCCCAAGACGGACCGAAACGTTCCTGGGTCATTATCACGACTTGATAATGGCCCAAGACGGACCGAAACGTCCCTGGGCCATTATCACGACTTGATAATGCCCCAAGACTGACCGAAACGTCCCTGGGCCATTATCACGACTTGATAATGCCCCAAGACGGACCGAAACGTCTCTGGGCCATTATCACGACTTGATAATGCCCCAAGACGGACCGAAACATCTCTGGGTCATTATCACGACTTGATAATGCCCCAAGACGGACCGAAACGTCTCTGGGCCATTATCACGACTTGATAATGCCCCAAGACGGACCGAAACATCTCTGGGTCATTATCACGACTTGATAATGCCCCAAGACGGACCGAAACATCTCTGGGTCATTATCACGACTTGATAATGCCCCAAGACGGACCGAAACGTCTCTGGGTCATTATTATGACTTGATAATGACCCAAGACGGACCGAAACGTCCCTGGGTCATTATCACGACTTGATAATGACCCAAGACTGACCGAAACGTCCCTGGGCCATTATCACGACTTGATAATGCCCCAAGACGGACCGAAACGTTCCTGGGTCATTATCACGACTTGATAATGCCCCAAGACGGACCGAAACGTCTCTGGGCCATTATCACGACTTGATAATGCCCTAAGACGGACCGAAACGTCGTTGATTCTTCATGTACAGCTGTGTATGGGGCATAAACTATTGTAACTCATCGTCTACATTGCAGTTTAATTATTATGGCGCCTACACAGGAATCTGTCTAGAGATTTGAGAATATTTCCATCGACTTGAGAATGGTTCAGGACGGACCGAAACGTCTTCGTCCCTTCACTTCCTAGTGTGTGGTCTGGTCAACATATTTCAGCCACGTTATTGTGACTCCTCGTCTGCATCTGAGTATTTCCTAGTTTTCCTGCTGCCGCTCTTGTCCAATCACCTGGGCTGGACGGTAGAGCGACGGTCTTGCTTCATGCAGGTCGGCGTTCAGTCCCCGAACGGGCAAGGGGTTGGGCACCATTCCTTTTTTACCCGGATTATCCCAGATCCTTATCCTGACCCCTTCCCAGTGCTATATGGTCGCAATGGCTTGGCGCTTTCCCTTGATATTACTCTGTATTCTGGTGCCGCTCTTCAGAGATGACGTTGTTGTGTTTCAGTATAGGTGTTTGTTTTTTAGGCTAATTTATATGGTTGACTTTGTAGGGCGCTGGTCTTTGTAGGCTCCATGATTTAGATTTAAGTCATCCTTCCTCCAACATTATTTTCGAGCATTAGCGATCCAGAACTAGACCGTTGGCGAGCGTGCATGCGTGCGAGAACGTTTGCGAGCGTGTGTGCACGAGCGTTCGCGAGCGTGCATGCGTGCGAGAACGTTCGCGAGTGTGCGCGTGAGCGTTCGCGAGTGTGCATGAGCATCCGTGAGCGAGCCAGCGAGTGTGCGTTCGCATGCGTTCGCGAGCGAGTGTGCGTGAGCGTGCGTTCGCGAGCGAGTGTGCGTGAGCGTGCGTTCGCGAGCGAGTGTGCGTGAGCATGCGTTCGCGAGCGAGTGTGCTTGAGCATGCGTTCGCGAGCGAGTGTGCGTGAGCATGCGTTCGCGAGCGAGTGTGCGTGAGCATGCGTTCGCGAGCGAGTGTGCGTGAGCATGCGTTCGCGAGCGAGTGTGCGTGAGCATGCGTTCGCGAGCGAGTGCGCGTGAGCATGCGTTCGCGAGCGAGTGTGCGCGAGCGTTCGCTTGATTAGACTGACATTCTTTTTTTTTAATTTGTGCTAAATCTGATATTTCTATATAGATAGAATAATACCTAGCAAATATTTGCTTGTAACTCGCGCGGGGAAGCTTCAGGAGATTACAGATTTACATATTATTACAACTTATATAGATTTGTTCATTTTCTTCCGGAATTTGGATTTGTTGAAGCGAATTAATAATATGAAGAGCGCACAGATGACATTGGTTAATAATCTCCATAATTTGACTTATAATTGATAAGTTGATATGTTTGGGTGAACTAACTCACTGAACATCAGACACGCTGTATACGACATGTGGTTATCACAGCAATGTGTTGTCAATCTGTGGTTATTTCCATACCGATGTACGGATATAATGTTGCTGCGAATATATATAGGGTTTTAAAGTTTGATGAATTTGGATGATTTTGAGGAATTGGGGAGTAATGCGATAATGCGGATTGGAGAGGCAGCCTGAATGAACCTGTCGAGACGACGGCCACGATGGCTGTGTACGATGATTATAGTGGTATAACACTGGTATATCTCTTGATATACCAGTATAACACAATTATAAACTACCGTCTGGCATTGACACTAGATTGATTTGTGTATTGTATAGCTTTCAAGACCCGCTAGAATGAGCTAAGTTGTGTATTGGGGTGAGTGTAGAGGTGTGTAGTAGTGGCTAGGTGATACCGAGGCTGCCTGACTGGCCTGGGTGCTGAGTCTGGTATACTCCTCCAGCTCTACTGCCAGTGTATACTCGAGTATACCATATTCTGGCCGTGTTAGCCAGTAGCTACCCCACAATAGTCAAGATGATCGTCTTCGAGGTATGTGTTACCGGCGGTCACGTCACTTCCAACTTGTAATTAATAATGTACGTTGGTTAGATATTGGTCATTTGTATTTGTATGTGAGTATACTTGTAGGTCTGTTAGTGCTTCTTATTGTTAGTATTTATGTGTAGTGCAGGACTGGGATATATATTAGATGCTGTGTAACGTTGCTCTTGACGCTTGGTACAAGTTTATAGAGCAAAATGTCACCAAAAGGTCTTGACAAGACTAGAAAATGTAATTAACTTTGTATTGCTCTGTCCCCCATGTGTTGAGTGGTGCTAGTGTGAGAACACTGCTTGAGCGGGAACTACAGTCTACATGTAATGGCACTATGATGATATTAAACATTGGAGTCATTATTTTGGCAGTAAACTTAGTTTACTGCCAAAACTGGCTTTACTGGACTGTTTTCCAAGAGAAGTTCCGGATCAACCGGGCTGTGGTGGGTATGTGGGCCTGCGGGCCGCTCCAAGCAACAGCCTGGTGGACCAAACTCTCACAAGTCAAGCCTGGCCTCGGGCCGGACTTGGGCAGTAGAACAACTCCCAGAACTCCATCAACCAGGTATCGAGCAGTGTTAAATATTGGATATTACAGGGTAATAGAGAAGTATTTTCTATTTGATTTTAAGCCTGTTTGATATTAAGCAATGTATAAATGATATTAGGCTATGTACAAAAGTACATAGCTTTTTTCATAACTTTTTTATTTTTACTAAAAGTGAAATCTGAATAGTTAAACAAAAATTTTTATTTTACCATTAACAATACAATTAATGTCCGCATTTTGCAGCATAAGTTCAGATTTGCCTAATGGCTCATTTTAACAGTATAAGATATAATGCTTGTACCCCTGCCCTTGTCCACAGACTTTACCATTCATGTCATCGTGATCCCTCATGCACTAAACTCATTCCAACTGTGAAAACATACCAGTCCTCTAATTTTGTTGCCGAGCCCAAAAACAAATGTTTTGTGTATGATAAGAAATGTCTGCTAGGTCCTGTTGGCACTTCTGCTAGGTTCTCTTCTCACAGTTGGGGATCCCGGGTTTGGTCCCCGGGTGGTGCAGAAATATAGTGGTTGGTCATTTCCTTTCACCTAATGTCTCTGTATACCTAGTAGTAAATAGGTACACAGGAGTTGGGCAACTGTTATGGCAGACAGAGATCACACTAACGTGATGCATCAAATGAACAAATCCACAAGGGCCGTGACGAGGATTCGAACCTGCATCCGGGAGCATCCCAGACACTGCCTTAATCGACTGAGCTACGACAGTCTTCTGTCGTAGCTCAGTCGATTAAGGCAGTGTCAGGGATGCTCCCGGACGCAGGTTCGAATCCTCGTCACGGCCCTTGTGGATTTGTTCAAGTGTTATGGGTTGCATCCTGGGGAGGGTGAGTAGTTTAACCTCAGAGGGGCCGTGACACAAAACTAAAGTGTATATATATTAACAACTTCCTGTTCCCAACAACATTAATTATCCAAGCTCTTTCATCACCCTTCATGCATCTGAGGTTTGGACAACCCACTTATAATTTTGTTATTCTGCAGATTCCTAGTTCTCTTGGGCAGTTTGTTCAACAGGAGCCACTTGGGTCCATGCTAGAGAGCGGCTCTTCCTACACACTACCAGACACGACCCCAACTCATACGGTGCCCTCCTTGCAGCCTTGGCCAGGCCGTTTCTTATTCTCCATTCGTGTACCAACTGATAACAAGGACCGCAACAAGGTGCGTTTTTGCAAATGAGTGAGAATCTTAAGAATGTAAGTTGTTCAGTTGTAAATATAAAACAAAGCATAACTGGAATCTATATACAGTACTAATACTTGTTGCTGATGATTTGGTCTTGCCATTATCATTATGCCCTTGTGAGGCATTCACGACTTTTGCACTTTGAGATGGTTATGTGGTTTTGTACACATTGCGCTTGCTAAGTTCACTTGTGACTGTATGGTCAGGTAAATATATTTCGATTTGGAAACTTGGCAGTTTTTAAACATTGCTCAAGAAATTTAATACCAGTTTTATTTGAAAATGAAAGGTTAAACAGGTGTTACTTAACTGGGTTTGTGAATTAGACTCTGAGGAAGAGATCCATCTTAGTGAATAATTTTAAGCTGAATAATTGACAAGAAAATAAAAACTAATGTTAATGGAAAAAATGTACAGTATATCATAAAATTCTACTAATCATTTGGTAGGAGATATGGAATGGTGCAGTGTTTGTACGGTGTACCTACTGAATTTTGGTCAACTTGTCGACAATATAGTAGATCATTTGTCCTATTTTGACCATTAACCATTGTCCAGCATTCGAGTGCAGACAGCCATACCTGCATCCCATGTCATAATGCAGTGTCCTTCAATCCATTGATATTTGGAAATAAAATAGTGATGGGTCTTTGTATATTTGTTGTGCATTGCTAGTAGACTAGACTCAAATGTTACACAGTAGGATACACATTGATGCCTTTTGTACTACTTAATGCCTGTAAGAAATGATGTGCCATTTACTAAGAATAGTTCTTGGTATCTTATTTGCAAATGGAGAATAGTCTGTAAAGTATTAAAATGCATATTTAGATTTTTTTTTTTTACATTAGTTTATGTATTGTTCATGAATTTGACCAATTCACGGGAATTGGTTAATTTGTTAAAACATTCATGATTAAAGATTAATGGTCTGATTTTTGTATGTGATCACCAGTGGTGCTACAGCCAGAGCCTGCAGAAGCTATATGTTTGTCCAAATGTTGCTGTGCCGGTGAATGTATCACTCGGCGAGTGGGCTGATGCTAAGATTACTATCACTCCAGTCTTCAAGGAGAGTCGCTGTCGATTAGAACCAGTGACTCGCTGCTACAACTGCAAGTCCTCACAAGGTATGTCATTGTGCAAGATAAATATTCACTTACAAGTCGAGGCCGGGCTTGGGGAGTACAACACCCACAACCCCATCCAGGTACTATTCATACAGCTAAGCGTCAAGAGTTATTTATTTTATTTTATTTTATTTATATATATACAAGAAGGTACATTGGGATTGTGAGGATACATAGCATAGTAAATACATTCTTGTAAAGCCACTAGTACGCGCAGCGTTTCGGGCAGATTTGTATATTTGTAGCAAGTACGTGTTATAACGGTCCCGGCAGTACTGTATAGTCTGGTTCGTTCTCGACTCGCAATCGAGAATTCCGGGTTCGAATCCCAGGCAGGACAGAAAGGGTAGAGCGTGTTTCCTATCATCTAATGCCCTGTTCACCTAGCAGTAAATATGTACCTATGAGTTAGTTAGCGTGTTGTGGGGGTTGCATCCTGGAGAGGGTCAGTAATTTTGATCCTTTGGGGACCTGGGTATAAAAACATGTACTGTACGTATAATGTGGCTGCCTGTCCCCTGACCCAGTGATCATTACAGTATTGAAAAACAGCTTATAATGTTGTACATAAAGGTGAGAGAGGGTGAGGGGTGGTGACTGGCTGTATAAAGGCAATAATCATCCGATTGGTAAAAATAAATTAAGTTGCAGCTGAGACTTTATGTATACTGTATTATAATTTTCATTCTGGAATGACTGCAACATTGACAGAAAGTAATCAGACGGCCAATACAGTCACTACTACAGCGGCATGTTTGTTCACTGGCCCAATGGATGTACTGTATAAGAAGTCAAAAAGGTTATTACGGGCCACGAAATGTGTTACTTTTTGTTACTATTTTAATATTTACTTTAAGCTCAATTATAATAAGATAGTGAAATATGATCTGGAAATGTCTACTTGGTAGATTCAAACCAGATTTCATGATAAACTCTAGTGAATTGAAATCTGAAAATACAGAGGGTGAATCTGATGATTAGTTTGTTATTTATAAGGATTTTAGAGGTGACACTTATAACAAAATACATTACAATGCACACAACAATGAAAGCTTTCAAGAGGGAATTTTACAAGTTTCTGCTGGAGTCGCATGATCAATCTGACTGTGATGGCTGTGTGGCCCTGTGGGGCCATGAAGACAAACTGCTTCGCAGACCAGGCAGTCACTAGGGAGGGAGGGCTATGGAAATAGAACAATTCCTTATTCTCCAATGGTAATCAATAGGACTGCTTCTGCTAGTGTTAAAAGCACCTTGTTCATTGGACTAACCCTATACACGCAAACCTTGTGCAAAAAATGCAGACTGTCGAGCTTGGCCTCAAGCTGGGCTCGGGAAGTAAAGGAACTCTCGGAATGCTTTCCAGGTGTGCTCCAGGGGCTAGTTTCAAGAAGCAGTTACGCAAGTACTTACAAATGTGTACATCTTTCCTCAATCTTTGATGGCTTTGGTTACATTTATTAAACAGTTTACAAGCATGAAAACTTCCAAATCAACTGTTGTTATTGTTATAAACAGCCTCCTGGTGCTACAGAGCTCATTAACTGTTTAATAATTGTAAACAAAGCCACCAAAATTTGAGAAAAGATGTACGGGTTCGTAAGTGCTTGCGTAACTGCTTCGTGAATCCAGGTCCTGGTAATGAAGCCTATCTGGAATACGGGTTATAATAATTCCTGTATGATTAGTTGCTAAAGTTTATGTTCAGCATCAAATGGCACTTCATGTGCATGAGGAAGGAGCATCAAAATTTTTATAGTATGTGGCTAGATGCAAAAGAGCAATGTGTTGATAAATTAAGTGACTTGGTATTCAAAGAGCATTGGTATCAGAGGAGGGGTCAGAGAATGCTTAGAATGAGGATGTTTTTTTTTTTTTTTTTTTTCCTACCACAGATGTGGCCACACATTTACAATGCTAACCAGCATATATACATTTTCTTCTGTCCTCCATGGACAGGGTTAGACAAGTGTTAAACATATAGTTCAAGGGCTTATTGAACACTCAACCACAGAAGGTGATTCGGTGCTTTTAAAATGCTAAGCTAACCTACATACGTAAATACATAGATACACAGATTTACGTATGCACTACATAAAGTGTTAGATGTGTCTTTTACATAGTGTCATTAATGTACATTCACAAAGGTGAAATGTAATTCTGATCAGCTTCCATATATACTTTATACACATACATATACATACACACACACAAGAGGCCCAAAAACATTGACATACAAAATGTAAATACTAATGCATTTCTTATTTTGCAGTAAGTGAGGGTGAATCAGCTTTAGCAGAACATATTATCCAGCTGGACGGAGAAGGTTGTGAATATAGCTGCGTTAATGAGAGGCACATAGTGACGGTGCCTCTTCAACCCCCACCACCTGGAGAAAATGTTTCAACTTTATTCATGAAGTCGATGTGTCTAACATCTTGCGTTGGAGGACCAAATAGAAAACCTTTTAACGTCGTGTTTACCCTTCGAAGCACGTTAGTACAGTACCTTGTAATTATTGTAAATGTAATTTATTCTATTAACCTTATTGTTTTATTAAAATCAATTTACAGTAGTGTTTATCATATTTGTGCTCTGCATTTTCTCCTAATTGTTTTACGTGATTTCACAGAGTTACCGGTTTAGAAGTTGGTAGGCAAGTGCTGGACGTCAAGTGTTGCAAGTGTCCCTCACGTGATATGGCAAATGAAGAGCATAATCAAAATAAACGTGTTGGCATGGTTACTCTGGATGATGAAAAGCAAATCAAGGTACTTACTACTGTACTGTATAACTTGTAGTGTACATTATTCATGATTAAGTTATTGGTGTATATAAACATTTTTAGCAACTGCTTGAAATTGTTATTAGATTGAGTGGTAATTGTGTTCAAGTGAGAGAGGTTTGATCGGGCTCGTGGGTCTCGCCTCTATAGCAAAAGGTTATCTGGACTTGCTTCTTTAGTTATCAGGCACCGCATGTAGCCATGTCTACCATTTTCCTAATTCTTTTATCATATCTTTGAAAGTAATGACTAGTAATGGCTACTACAGTATACATACAGTATACATCACTTTTTAGTCATACAAGCAGAATTAGAAATGCAGAATATACTATATCATCTGTTCAGTTTGCAGAGTAACTTAACATTTGAAAGTTTTGAGTCCTCATGTCCCTACAAGTTCAGTCAAATTGTTAGAGAAGTTATTATTCAAGCCATCTTCCAAGAATGGCAGTACAGTTCATGCAGCAACTACAGTGAGATTGTACAATAATGGACTAGTACCCAAAATAATCCATTATGTACTATGGGCATGCTAAAAAGTGGAATAGTGACTGCAAATCTAACCTGTCATAGGCTGAAATAAGCAATCTTAGGCCTAATTTTAGTACATAGTGCTATACTTGGCCTACAAAATTTTAGGTTTGACTGCTGTCTTTATTGATTCTTTCTTTGTCCCTCTACAAAATTAATATATTTTTTTTGTTTGTTTTTTGTTTTCCTCAACAGTACAATTTTGTACATTTCCCCCAAAGTTGCTTTTAAGTATTAAGATTTTTGATTGACAGGCTGTAGGTTATATTTCCAGGCCCTTACACAAATTTACATGAAAAATTTCCATGTCTGCTTTATTTTCACTTAAGAATTATAAATACTTGGATCATGGTACCCACTAGTACTGCACAGGTGCTCGTGGTACCCGCTGGTACTGCACCGAGGTGATGCAGTACCCGCTGGTACTGCACCGGGGTGATGCAGTACCCGCTGGTACTGCACCGGGGTGATGCAGTACCCGCTGGTACTGCACCGGGGTGATGCGGTACCCGCTGGTACTTCACCGGGGTGATGTGGTACCCGCTGGTACTGCACCGGGGTGATGCAGTACCCGCTGGTACTGCACCGGGGTGACTGCACCCCTGTACCAGGTGCCCTTCCCACAACTCCCACACGGGCATTAGGGAGTAATATTGGTTCTTGAAAATTTTGGTTCTTCTAAATATTGGTTCTTCCAAACCAGTGTTTCTACTGTTCTTAAGTGTATGGAAGAGTACCAACAAATTCAAAACAATTTGGAAATATGATTGATAATGACAATAGTATTAATTTCTTTCACCAGGTGAGGAAATTAGCTTCTGAGATTGTAGTAGGCCAAAAGAGAAAGAGACCAAACATCAAACTTGAACCAGGAACTGAACTGCGTACTGTGAAGATCGATGTAAGTATGTCATTGGTGTTGGACTCCTGAACCTCCACGAGGTAAAGGTTTACCTAATTATTGTCTCTATATTTGTTTCTCTTGCAATAGTTGTTGTTACCTTACAATAACTGCAATGTACACTGTTATCTTGAGGTTATCTGGAGATGATTTCGGGGCTTTTTAGTGTCCCCGCGGCCCGGTCCTCGACCAGGCCTTCGCCCCCAGGAAGCAGCCCGTGACAGCTGACTAACACCCAAGTACCTATTTTACTGCTAGGTAACAGGGGCATAGGGTGAAAGAAACTCTGCCCACTGTTTCTCGCCGGCGCGCGGGATTGAACCCGGGACCACAGGATCACAAGTCCAGCGTGCTGTCCGCTCGGCCGACCGGCTCCTGTGAAGTAAGATGCTACAAGGAAGGCTCCCATTGCTGTACAGTATACTTTATAGTGATATTCCCAGCCCATCCTCTTAAAGTGAAAGTACTTTTAATAGCGATGTGGTTGAAGGTACAAATGTGTCGTGATGGATCACCAGAAAGTAGATTTTTTGTAGTACTTATTGAATTTTGACAAACTGGAAAATTGTTATATTTGCTAATAAAACCTAACCTAACATAACCATCCTAGGCTTAATACACACTATTTGAGGTGTAATACAGTACATCCATATGCTATACTAGGCCTAAGAATAGTTAAGTTTGTTTTTAGTCTTGAAATTATAATTAAAAAAAAAAAAATGGTTAATTGAACTCTTACTACATACTTGAATGAGCGGCCACAGCTACACATTACTACATACTTGAATGAGCGGCCACAGCTACACATTACTACATACTTGAATGAGCGGCCACAGCTACACATTACTACATACTTGAATGAGCGGCCACAGCTACAGAGGATACCCAGTTCCTTCTGTTTATCAAAACAGGAGGTTAGATTTCCCTCCAACCATTTGAGGCACAGTCCAAGAAAATATACCACACAGGTCTTGGGCTGACTGGATTGATGACTAGACCACACACTAGAAGTTGAAGGGACGACGACGTTTCGGTCTGTCCTGGACCATTCTCAAGTTGATTGTGAGACTTGATCGACTTGAGAATAGTCCAGGACGGACCGAAACGTTGTCGTCCCTTCAACTTCTAGTGTGTGGTCTGGTCAACATACTTCAGTCACGTTATTGTGACTCATCGCCTGACTGGATTGAATTTGTGTATCCATTTGTGAACAAGTCATATTGAGGGACTTATTGAATAGGATTTTTTCCTAATTGACAACCTATCCTGATTATTGGGAGCCGAGTAGTAATGAAACTTGATTATAGATGTATGGATTTTATAGGTCTGGTTATCGAAGGCCAAATATTCAATATTTTCCGATTGACTAAACTAATACAGAATTTTTTTCCTTTTTTTCAGTGTCCTGAAGTATTTGAGACTCAAGTCAAGCAGTACATAAATTATCTCTCTGTCGCAAGGGTACTCAAACACACCCAGCCGAGTTTGTTTCTGTACCCAGACGTGATTTAGGTATGACTTTTAGTGTACTGCAGATTTGTTTTGATAATAATAAGTCAAATTTAATTTTGTGATTTGAAAAAAAAAATAATTTTAATTTTTTTTTTTTTTTTTTAGAATTTGCAGATTAATGTTAATGAGTGAAGCATCCTTGAGGTAAACATTTTTGTCTAGTTCAGATGATCTATGAATTATACAACAAATGTTACAAACAGTTTAAGTGGATTGTTTTAGTTCATATGTACTGAATGTTGCTGTGTGCTCTTCTTGAGTGTAGAACTTGTCGCTCAATGAAAATCTAACATTAGGAATATTACAGATTTCAATACAAAGAAACCATATGAGTTACGAAGTTCATTTGTAAGTTAGATGATTCTTAAGTTGTAAGAAAACATTGAAGCTTGCAAACCATACAGTTGGGTGAAACATTTTGCATATTTTTAATAGTTCACATTGTTTACCAAAGATCTGGGTAAATACTGGTTCAGTAACGGGTTTGTTGATATGTGGAATCAATTACTGTGTAACATAATAGAACTAGGATTCCTTGATTGTGTTTTAAGCATAGGTTACACATATGAAAGATTGGGGTGGATATCAATAGGAGCTGCCTCATAGGGCCAATAGGTCTTCTGAAGTTACCTTCATTCTTTTGTTCATTGAAGCGCTCAAATCTTTCCAGTTTGGTTAGTAACCCAAGGGGTTCAGTGTAACAAACTTATTAAGTAAAACACTAACAAGAATGTAGGCAGAGAATTAGGTAGTCAATTAATCGGACAGTTTTTTCCCTCTTGTTTCTTACATGCCCCTGTTATTACGGGAAGTGTTTACCCCATTACTCGACTCATTCTTCTTGCAAGAGAGAATAAAAGTTCTCATCGGGTTAAAATTAGGCAAGAGAATAATGTAATAACCTTAAATATCTTGCTAGAAATGAGGCACATAACCCTCAAATTACATGTTTATTTACATGCAGCTCTATTGCTACTTTATTCGAGGGCGGCGTGAAAAGCACGTCGCCAACGTGACTGTGTTCGTGTGCATACGTTTAATTCCTATCTCCGATCCAAATTATGTAAGTCACTATAATATAGGAAAATGGTTAACAGGGATGTAGGAAGATGCTTTATTGTAATAGTTTAGGTAAATATGTAAACCTAAGATTTTTCTTTCTTTCTCCCCAGAGATTGAACATCACTGCTGCAGAGTTGTGTACTGCTTTTTAGTGACCTTGGCAGGTCCTTGTCAAAAGATGGTGCCAAGCCAAGAAAACTCTATAACACTACAAGTGGCCTTGATAGTAATGCTATGTTTAAAAACTGGGTGATGTACATTACATTTTAAGGATAAAACTGAACAAATTTTGACTCTGGGTTAGAGTATGGTAAGCCCACATCACATTACCAAGACACTTTTCTTCCAATATGATGGTCATTCTTTAATATTTTGCTGGGTGCAGCTCTGTGCAGATTAAATATAATTTAACAAATTGATCTTTTGTTGAACTTACAATTTTATCTAATTTATATAAGTATTTTGTTTACATTGGCAGTAGTATCAAGTAATACTATATACTAAATTAAGTTTTTAAATTTAGTTTTGAAGTAGCTGACACCCTGCACTTGTTTATGGTTTAAAGAAGAATCTGTCTTATAATATTTAAGGGAATGTGCTTTGCTCGTGTACTGCTGAGTCTTATGAGTGGAAGATGCACCCATTAGAGAGTAAAGCACAAGTTTATATTTTTACATAAAATAATGTTTTTTGTTATGGTTGGCTCCTTGTTCTTGGTATTGAATATGTATTCTTGTACCGTTGTCCTCTAAGGTAACTTTTGTTTGGTCTTCACATTAGTGCTTTAGTTGGTGGCATGATTAACTAGCACATTTCAATTCTATTAAAAGTAAACTCCTGTAAATCCTCGTTTCATTTTTTCTGCATGGTCTTAATTTGGCATTAATAAGCCAGGTATGTTTTGAACAGTAAGTTTTAAAAATTAGGTTTTACAAATACTGTGCCTACATATCAAGGATAATTAGTAACTACACAGGATACATATTTTAAGTATATTAGGGCACATGATAATTACAGCTCTTTAGTGATTGATGTATGCAAGGATATTAGAGAAACATGCACGAGCAGCAGCTTTGAGGGCACATTTTGCTCCTAAAAAAACGTGCATAAATTTTACATGGGTCACCCAATTTGATAACTTTTCATACATGCAAAAAATGTTCTCAGATCTCTGGTCCCCAGTGTTTCAGTGGTGTCTGCTCTATTATAATCCAAGAAAACTTACATTGTTATTAATGAAAGAGATTTCTGCCGACATAATCAGTTGGTTCAATGCTCATGTTGGTGTACTACAAGAATCTTGTATAGTGAAACATGCTAAAAAGTCAAAGATTTTTATTTTTTTGTTAAAATAAAGTTGCATTATCATTTAATGAAATGGATGGTGATTGTTATTTTCACCTTGTAGGGTGTTCCTTTCAATTTATAGGGTGTCCTGCACTTAATTCTCACATTCCGCATGACATGTATATGACAAACATTTCTTTCAATTGCCCACTTTTTTTTTAATTCTTTAGGCCACCCTACTTCATCTCTACATTGAATGTAGATAATTAAAATAGAAAAACAAACAAATATTTTGTTCATTAAATTTAAATTCAATGTGATTAATTACATATTAAAATGAATCAATTAATTAGTATTTTTATGACCAAACGAAAATTGTCATTAACTTGATGGTTACCTTTGATAATCGTGTGATGCAAGTTTCTCAGACTAAATACTTTAATTTACATGACGGTGCTTCATGCAAGTTTGTATGCTGCCGGTGGCTTCTTCTATGCAAATGTTCATTCGTTATCATGGTTGACTGTACTGTCATGGCTTCAGATTGATTTGATTTTGATGGAAAGTTTAGAACAGTATTTCTCATTTTTTTAGCAGATATAACAGTGGATTGATCCCCATCCATATTTGTGTAGCCTTCAATGATTAATGTCCCACTGATTTTTTGTTGTATTGGCATCCTGAATGATATATAAATTTTTCTTAATGTTATGTACCACAAACTGCTGGACCTTCAGGCAAAGATTTAAATGTCCCACAGCTACACGGGGTTCACATTCAGCTTCCTCAGGGCTCTAGTAAATATACACCATTTAAAAAAAAAAAAAATTGTGGGCAATATTCCTGGGTATGAAAGCCTCTGTACCGAGTGAGCAACCAAGGCTGATGCACAGAGCACGAGCTCACAGCACTGCTGTTCAGCTTGTGACTACAGCATCGCCTAAAAATATACAAATATATATGTACTGAAACTGTTATTATTTAGCAATGATAGTATTACAGGAGACGCCTGACTGATAAAAATGACCAGGATTCTGATAATAGCAGGAATGTGGTGATAATTAGCTGTGTGTTGTATGGTGGGAGGAATAATCTTGGTGAGGGAGGGAGGTGGCATTGTCTGCTGACTGTATGGCAACATGTTATTGTCTGGACTCGCCATACCAGCTTAATTGTTCACTATGGTGAACACAAATGTAGATACTGTACTTGTATATAACGTGTGTAGTGTAATAGCAGCAAAAGGAGTATGTTGGGAGGAGCCATTTTGGTGAAGGAGGGCTGGCTGACTGTGGCAACCTCTTATTTTCTGAACTCACCATACTGTACTAACTTAGTGGTTTGTTATGGTGAACAAAACATGCAGATACTTCTATATAAGGTGTGTATATAGTGTAATAACAGCAAAGCTATTTGTTTACTGTTTTATGAACATAAATGAATCACTAATATGTACACCATACTTTTGAGTATAGCAATGGTTCACATATTTTATTATATAAATATATATAATTTATATAATGATGACTATTCAATGACTTGAATAATATTACTGCAAAAAAAAAAATTAGGTAATATCTTTGTGGCAACTCCCGCCTGACAGCTTCCGACGCTTGCTCTGTCAATGCCTCAATTTTGCCAGACTTCCTTGACCTGTTGGGGCCAAAATATGTCACCTATGATGCTTTTATTTATTCCTGTGGTCAGGCAACACAAATGAACACTTTTACAAGACAATTTTATTTGTTATTTCTTGTGCACAGCGGTGTTGGCGGCTATTAAGCAAACACGTGCGCTGTTATAACACATGTCCATTCATGGCAAAATACAAGCAAGATATTACATGGTGTCGGCAAGAGAGAGTTTTTTTAGTGAATGTCTATGGTAGATCATTATTTTATAAATTAGATATTTATCTAATATCAAAATGATTTATCCATTGTTAAACACATGTTAAGTATGCAGAATAACCAAGTGAAAAATAAAAGGCAAACAGCTTGGTGCTTTTGACTCAATTGAGTCATTCCAATTCATCTCTGAAAACTAGAGTTTTCAGAGCTTTATTGCTCAGAGCAACAACTGAATTGCTCTGAACAACTCAATTGTTGCTCAGAACAACTTTATTGCTCTGAACAACTCAATTGAGTTAAAAGTGCAAAGCTTTTTACCTTTCATTTTTCACTGTTATTCTGCATAAATTAGACATTTTGCATTCATTGATAAAGTCTACAATGCCAATATCATACTAAAATATGTTTACAAACCATATGAATCTTTCGATGACATTCTGGACATGGTAAGCCACTATTCAGAAGATGTTGAGCACACCGATAACACGTTACCTGGTGACTAAGCCGGCCATGTATTATTGATGCGTTTTTAGGACACATGTTACACACCGAGCATAGAAGGGAACCCCATCTTGAAGATTGAGGTAAGTCAATGACTGACTTATTCCTTGAGTCTCTGATCACTTTTTTCTTAAGCACTTCCTGGAAAGTCTGAGAGGCCAAAAAGCATTTGCCATCTGCAGAATTGAGCCATCTAATTCCACCTTTCGACGTCAAAAACTTGAAAAACCGTTTTGTTTCTTCAGTCGCTTTCGCAGTTTTCTTTGTAAATGACATTTTCAAATCTTTGGTATTCATCAACTCCTCAGATTGATCACTGGAGGCCTGTGACGAAGTGCAAGCACTCTCCTTTGTCGTTATCCTACAATGAGGCAATTTTTCTGAATGAGATGCAAAAGATTTATCCTTGAAATTTGTTGAAGGGAAATCAGACAAATAACAAGCAGGATTTAAATCTTGGGAGCCTTCTTGTTTTAACTCCTGACTAAGATCAGTCAAATTTCCCTGCGAGGAGAAAATATCAGAATCTTGTGATCCACAGCGATTCAGAGAATAACTTGTTGAGGGCGCGTTGTCTGTCAACACATCTGAACACAAGGGGTCTCTTGTGTTAGGAGTTTGCTTATCTTGTTTGATGAGAGGATGTACTTTAGAATTTATTTGGCAAGGCCTGAAAATATCCACTTGAGATATATCAACATTGGTCTTAGACTTTTTCTTATTCTTTGGTCTTGGTTTTCTTCTCTTGTGTTTCTTCGATCGTTCTGGTAACCAGTTTTTCCTTAGCTGTAATATGGGAAAAAAAAAAAAAGTTCCTTAAATGGTTCTAAAAACATTATAAGTGTTTATCTATATCACCTGTAATTTAAGCATCATTAATTCTGAGGCAACTGAAGATGGTCTTGAAAAGTACAATGAAGATAAGCTTATACAAATTTTGAATACAAAGGAAATATTGTAGTTATCTAAAGAAGACATTAAGCTGGGAAGAATAATTAGTACTGTAGTTGTCATGGATGAGCAAAAGGTCCCAAATATGAGTAAAAGACAATATCAATATGAAGTGTCTTAACTCAACTCGATATGGGTCAATGACACAAGTGTGATCACGAAACATGCCAGAAATCTCTACACACCCAAGATGATTTAATAATTACAAAGGGTGTAATGACTAAAGGAAGTGTAATGAGCACTGGTATAGGGAACAAAGACTACTGGGTTATCTTGAGATGATTTCGGGGCTTTAGTGTCCCCACGGCCCGGTCCTCAGTCAGGCCTCCACCCCCAGGAAGCAGCCCGTGACAGCTGACTAACATCCAGGTACCTATTTTACTGCTAGGTAACAGGGGCATAGGGTGAAAAACTCTGCCCATTGTTTCTCGCCGGCGCCTGGGATCGAACACAGGACCACAGGATCACAAGTCCAGCGTGCTGTCCGCTCGGCTGACCGGTCCCCCAGTACCCAGTGGGTAGTTACTACCACAGACATTACAACGAGTATTTGACCTCTAGTAAGTAGTGGAGTCATACGTTGTGACACGAAGTTGTGACATTTAAGAAAATAGAAAATTACAGTTAAACTCTGTATGTCATATTCAGACACCTAAGGAAAGAGACTAGTATAAAAAATCAATCATTTCTAAAACATTGGTCACCCCTCCATAAATAGCTGGATTCCAAATAAAGTCATAACCTATGCATTCCAAACCTTCACTTTTAATGGAGAGAGATTCATTTAGTTCCCCAAAATATTTTTTCTTATGAAATGGTAGATCTTTGTGCATAAGTATCAAACTAAACAACTTTATCTATCTTTATATCGGCCTGGGTGATGGTAAAAAAGTATTGATGAGCATCACACTATAATGGCTGCCATGACCCCCAGATGATGTGTTGTACATGTATGAGTAAGAAATGTGTATATTGAAACAAGACAAAGAAAAATATACAATAGTACCTATTCATGCACAAAATCACATCCAAACAATGAAAATTGTTGGGAAAATAAATAAAATTAATCACGATCATACATTAAAACTTTTAAGAATCTCTTGTGATTCTGATCGTTTTGCAGCAAAAGGGTTAAAGGCAATTAAAAGTAACTTCTGCACATTTAAGAATTCCTATAATTTCAAAAAGATACTTCACAATAAAACATTTGGGGCCTCCAGGGACACTCATACACAACTTGAGTGCAGTAGTGTGCTCAAGATATTAACCAAGAATTACAGGTAATTATCAAAAGAAGGCACAAAGCCGAGGAAATAAATTAACCAAAGACCGAGGTTCAATATAAAACTTTACAAAGTAAAGTTGGTAATCAGCAGAAAGAAACCTGATTTAATGAGAATGAAACAAGACACCATTGTGTAGATTTAGTTAACACAAACATGTCTCCAAGAGGAGGGAAATATGTCAGACCAGAGGTTCTTAACCTTACACATCAACATACTGACCAATTTGTCCCATACGGTCAAAATCACCACCACCAGTCCTATTAATTAGATGCCATTAAGACTTCAAAACCAGCGTTGAATGTAATGAAATGCTATTTTCTGGGTGAGGCCCGGATGCTCTCCGGAGCTATCAGGCTGATATTTTTTATATTAATCTGGGGGCATCAGTCAATTGGAGTTCAGCCTAAAGGGAACCACAAGCCAGAACCTGGACCCTCCCTCAGAGAGGCAGAGAGAGCAATGGCCTATGGATACCCCCATGTATTTGGAGGCTTTCCATGTCCGCCATCAACCAGGGTTGGCACCCAGAAAGGTAAGCATAACAAAATAGACCTCACATTGTAAGAAAATCACAACTGAAGACCGAACAGAGAGGCAGATTCCTCCCCCCCCCCACTTAAAAACAAGCCAATGCCCCACTCCGCTGCTTGTCTGTATAGCCCTCCCCTTCCCGGGAGGGTTAGGGGAAAGCCCCGGAAACCCCTGTGCCAGTTACTCAACAACCCGGAGGCTGAGCATCAAAAGAACAAATCCACAAGGGCCGTGACAAGGATTCGAACCTGCGTCTGAGAGCATCCCAGACGCTGCCTTAATTGACTGAGCTACGACATGGTATAAGAATTGCAACCAGAAATTCTACTGAATTTACTTGGATCCTGCAGCCTCTCCGAGACACAAACCAGGATTTTACACAATTCCCCCCTGCACTCGAGCTATGTCAATAGGCTGTTCTACCTCTTCGCCCTTACTTCATTACACACAGAAATCACATTAGCATGATGCATCAAACGAACAAATCCACAAGGGTTGTGACAAGGATTCGAACCTACGTCTGAGAGCATCCCAGACGTTGCCTTAATCGACTGAGCTACGACATGGTATAAGAGTTGCAACCGAGCATCAAAACCCACGCAAAAAAAAAAGAAAAAAAAAAGAAAAAAAAAAAAAAAAACACCACCACCAACAACACCGACCAGAGGGAAGGAGGGTGCCAGGGAGCCTCCGGGGCTCACCCAGAAAATATCATTTTATTACATTCAACACTGGTTTTCTGAGGGGAACCCCTTTGGCTCCCTGGAGCTACCTAACCAAAGATAAATAAAGAGAGACTTACCCAGGAGGCGGCTGCCACTTGCTCCTCAACCAGAAGTTGAGACAACTGGGTGCAACCTGCAACCCAAAGCCACACACAACGACTTGAATCAGGAACGTTGACGTGATACAGAGCCTCCAGGACCCTGTTTGTCCTCTAGGACTAGCTTTATGACCCTTCAGGTCCTCAAGCTAGACCGAGGACAACTCGAGAAGGGAAAAGAAGCGCAAGACCAAAGCCAAATGCCTACAGATGCACAAATCCTTAGCCACCAAAGATACTGAAAGGATGGGAACATGCACGTGCAACTGCACAAGGCCAACATCCCGAGGAAGCACAGGGGTGAACAAGCACGCATTAAGGTGCTCAAACTCGCCCCCAGGTAAACCTCCAGAATGATAGAAGTTTCTTGCCACTGAAGCGCGAGGGTCCGACAAAACCCATGCCACCCCCGCCAACGAAAAGAATGGGTAGTCTGCCAGCCAGGAAGACTCTGGAACCTACAAACGGACCCAATACGAGTAAGAAGAACCAAACTCAAACGAGGACGGATCCATCACAGAGGCAGAATCCGGGTCTCGCAGGAGGTACGCAGCAATCGCCTCTCGAACCTCCCTAAGGGAGAGACAAGAGGCAGAAAACCTCCGGAAAGGAGCCAAGGAACCCAAGGGAACCCGGATCTGAACCTGGTTAGGAGCCGACCCCAAATCATATTCATACAGGAAAGGGGGGTAAGAAAATCCCTTCCCTTGCAACAACAAGCCCATGAAGTGGGTACCAAAACCTAAGCGGGTTCAAAGGAGACCCAAGCTCCGCAGGTCAACTCCTCAGCCCAGGATCCTCCAAACCAGGACCCGGAGCAGCTCCATACCCTCTACCCCTGAAAAAAGGCAGAGTCCAGGGGAAAGGCAAAATAGAAGGGGGCCTGCGGGTGGGACTCAGAAGCCATGGCAGGAGGGACCAGCTTGAATGCCTCCGTCCCCAACCCTGAATGGGGCAGCCCTTGAAGCTGCCAGTCTCATTACCAACTAAACCCTGCCCCGACTCTGAAACCCCCAGATGTTTGGGAGCTGAGAGCAAGGATGGGGGGAGAAGGATGAACAACATGGGAAGGACTAGGGAGTGCGGACGGAACCAAAGTCGAAGTAACTAATGCACCCCAAGTCTGGGTCCCTATAACCAAAACAGGGCAGCCTTGGGACATCCGGGTAGGCAACCAACCCAGCGCGTTGCAGCAACCTAAACCTAGCATGCAACGCAGATGCTGCCTGTACCCAAATACAAATGTAATCAGAATGAGTAAATTGGAGGACAAACAGAGAGCACGACTTGCAAGGCTCTGGATCAAAGGTGTTGTTGACCCAACAGGTAGCATAACGGAGGCAAAAACAGTGACTGCCACCCTGAGACAAGGACATACAGCAACCCTCAAACTCACACGAGGTGAGGTGGAACTCAGACGATGCATCCTTAGGTCTTATGAGCCCCAATGAGGATTTCCAGGACCTGTAGGCTGACTGCTACGGGAAGTCCAGGCAAAGTACAACAAAACCGGCTGGGCCCAAACTAACTAGGGGATCTGCTAAAGCTGAACCCCTGTGAAGTGTACTACCATGGGGACCTAGAGGAGGGACACCCAAACAACAGAAGCAGACCAATAGCCAAACCAGGCAGACCCCCCCCCTCTCCCAGGCAAGGAAAACAAACATAAAAGAAACCCCCCACAAAAGTACATGTCCCCAGAGGAACACAAACTGGCCGCCACGTTGGTAGGTGAGCTGAGCTGTACCTTGCCTCCACCCCAGTCCAAGCCAGGAAAAACAACCAAGTACCAGTAAATGACACCCCTTCCTACCCAAGGCCAAACAAAGGCTACAAAAACCCCAGCTGGCCCCAAGGGCAGTGTAAAAGTCGAGCTGCAAAGACCCCTACGGAAGTGGTCCCTGAAAGTTCTATGGAAGGGAACCCTAGAACACCAAGGGTGGTAAAAGTTCTCTTTCTTAAGCATCCTGTAAGTGCAGCATGCAGCCCTCGGTACTCTCAAAGTTCTCCTGGCCACTGTGCCACACACACAGCAAAACACACCACTAAAGTACATAACCGCCTATGAATCTGGTTGATACCTGGTTGATGGGGTTCTGGGAGTTCTTCTACTCCCCAAGCCCGGCCCGAGGCCAGGCTTGACTTGTGAGAGTTTGGTCCACCAGGCTGTTGCTTGGAGCGGCCCGCAGGCCCACATACCCACCACAGCCCGGTTGGTCCGGCACTCCTTGGAGGAATAAATCTAGTTTCCTCTTGAAATCTGAGGCCAGAGTCAACGTCTGCCCCGGACAACATCAGCCAACGAACTTGAGTTGTTGGGTAGCCGACGCGGGGGGTCTGAGGCTCCCCACTTTCCCCCTCCCAAGGAGGGGAGGGCTGTGCGGACAAGCGGCGGAGTATGGCATTTGCATGCTTTTAAGTAGGGGGGGTTCTGCCTCTCTGTTCGGTCTTCGGTTACAATTTTCTTACTATGTGGGGTCTGTTTTGTTATGCCCACCTTTCTGGGTGCCAACCCCGGTCAATGGCAGACATGGAATGCCTCCAAATACATGGGGGGGGTTTCCATAGGCCATTGCTCCCTTTGCCTCTCTGAGGGGGACCAGGTTCTGGCTCGTGGTCCCTGGTAGGCTGAACTCTGACTGATGCCCCAGACTAATATAACAAATGTCAGCCTAATAGCTCCAGGGAGCCAAAGGGGCTCCCGAGAAGAAATGTCAATAACTAGGTTTAACTGTACATATGGAATGGTAGCAAAACAGCTGAAAGAAAATCATAAGGATTTTATCAAAATTTATTTTTAAAATTGTTCAGCGATTGAATCCCATAAACCCAGCTAAAAACCCAGTTTTAGAGGATCAATAACAGCAAATCTGGTAAAGTCAAGGTAAGCATAAATTCAGCGGTGAACATATTTAGCAGCTAAGTAGGAATGCCATTCAGATCACACCCAGACACTTAGTAGTGTAGAATAGATTCATTTTATTCAAGCCATTTGGTCACCACTTGGTCCGGGAGACATCTCCCGTCACGCAGGGTGCAGTTGCGCCTCCACAGATCTCCAGTATCATCTTTTGATACTGGTAATGGCTCAAAAGGGCCACCACTTACGGGCTATTCATGCCCGTGCCACCTCTTGGGTGGCTTAATCTTCATCAATCAATCAGATTCTTCAGTTCTACTCATCCACGGGAGACATTTCCCGTCACGCAGGGTGCAGTCGCACCTCCACAGATCTCCAGTATCATCTATTGATACTGGAAATGGCTCAAAAGGGCCACCACTTATGGGCTATTCATGCCCAAGCCACCTTTTGGGTGGCTAAATCTTCTCTCTCTCTCTACTCATCACACCATTTGGTCCGGGAGACATCTCCCGTCACGCAGGGTGCAGTCGCACCTCCACAGATCTCCAGTATCATCTATTGATACTGGTGATGGGTCAAAAGGGCCACCACTTACGGGCAATTCATGCCCATGCCACCTTTTGGATGGCTTAATCGTCATCTTGGACACATTCATAGGAGACATCTCCCGTCACGCAGAGTGCACTTGCACCTCCACAGATCTCCAGTATCAGCTCTTGATACTGGAGATGGCTCAAAAGGGCCACCACTTACGGGGTATTCATGCCCGTGCCACCTTTTGGGTGGCTTCATCTTCATTTTAACACATTCACACGGGAGACATCTCCCGTCACGCAGGGTGCAGTCGCACCTCCACAGATCTGTAGTATCATCTATTGATACTGGTGATGGCTCAAAAGGGCCACCTCTTACGGGCTATTCATGCCCGAGCCACCTTTTGGGTGGCTTCATCTTCATCTTCTGTTTAAAACACGGGAGACATCTCCCGTCACGCTGGGTGCAGTCGCACCTCCACAGATCTCCAGTATCATCTATTGATACTGGTGATGGCTCAAAAGGGCCACCACTTACGGGCTATTCATGCCCGTGCCACCTTTTGGGTGGCTTCATCTTCATCTTAACACATTCACAAGGGAGACATCTCCCATCATGCAGGGTGCATTCGCACCTCCACAGATCTCCAGTATCAGCTCTTGATACTGGGAATGGCTTAATTTTCTTGCCACCTGGAGAGGTTAGATGCAGGTAGCAAAGCCTAACAGCATATCTTGGGAGGCACCAGGAATTCGTCAATGCTAACATAGGTTCATCATCAACACCAGAGGGCCGCTACTCACCTGCCAGCATTTACTGCAGTATCGTACAAATGGCTTGTTTTTCTCACTACAGCTGAGACAGTACCAACTCTCGGCCACTAGCTCCGGGTCGTCCGTCTCACTCGACTCGTCTGTATCGTTATCATCATCTGGCCAGAAGTCTCGCTCAGACTCGCACAGAGCGTGGAGAGCCAACACTGCAACGCCAGCATTCTGAGAGAAAATTTGCCAATCATTAATAGGGCCTATTTACAACACATATACAGTATACATATATGCAGTATAATGTATGTTGAATATACAGTATAGTATATAATTATAAGGTATTTACAGAAGATCTTCCAGATTCTCTCTGAATATCTTTTAGTATTTTTATTCAATAACCCAATTTTTGTATTTATTGTATTATGATTTAATCTAATTTATAAAACTGATTGGAATTTTCAAATCAAATGAAAAAAGCTTTCTCAGGTTGTTGTCCAGCAACATCAGCAACCTTACTAATACAACATTGCTGTATTAAAAAGAAAGTGATCTTTACAAGTACAGTACTGTATTTGCCAGTGCATTACACCCACTTTTTAAATTTTTAAATGTATCACAGAATTGCCCTGCATCTAATGCAGCCATATTACAGTTGGGAGACCGAGCGCCGTAGGCTAGGGAGCCAGACGAGCATACTGGGTAAGTTCGCTAGTTACAAAAATTGCTGCTAATAATAAAATATTGAAAACAAGCCAAATTATCAGTCTGTAATGACAAGTTTATGGAAAATTGCTTACAATACGCTTGCAGTTATGAAGGAAGCTCATATAATCTCGCTTACCTCCTTACCAGACGAAGGGACTTCCCCCAGAAAAGGCACTGTTATAACATCAAATTTAAACTAGATGTTGTAGTATACACAAAAGACCATGGTAATAGGGCAGCTGCTTCGTATTTTGGTCCACCACCACCCAAGAAAATAGTAAAGACTTTGAGGAAATTTTTCCCTACAAAAATTACTTTAAAATATCTTTCAATAAATGTACGATAAAACATACTAAAAATTTTTTTTCCATAAAACATCCTTGTAAAATAGGGATGTTTCTTGCATGCCTGCAACTACGGTAATATTCTACAAACCTCAATAACGGAGTCGTCATCAGCTTCATTGTCCTCCACGCACGCATCACTCTCCACATAGTCTGTGTTAAAACACAATGCTGTCAAGGAAAATAGGGTTTACACAAGTACTAAAACTATTCACAACTACATATATACACACATACATACATTACAGTATACAAAAACCATCAAGTTAAATGAAACACTACTTTCTACATAGCACTTTTTTAGATCCTCAGAGATTACAGCACTGGCACCAGAGGGCCACATACCATGACCCCCATGATCCTGAGACATGATCTTGGCATACCAGATGGCAGAATTATTATCTGGCAAGAGAAGCAAGTGGGAACCATAGATAAACCCCATTAATGAACTGCCTAGTCACAAATTCATACCAAAAACAGCCAACATGCATTCTGTGCAGAGAAAATCTGCTTACAAACAATAAATCAAGATCAAATCATCTTTTTTTCTCGTGGAATCGGTTCCATGTCATGGTACTCTCCAGATATGTAGCCCTAAGTCACATTCATGCCAGTTCTCTGCTCACTATGCTGTGCCCCTCTCTACGTGGAGAATACCTTGGTGCATTGCTCAACTCAACCCTGTCCAATTAACTTTCTTTACAATAACAACATCCTGTACAAACTGTAAAAAACCAGTGTCGAAGGTAATGAAACACCAGTTTCCAGTTGAGCTCTGGAGGCTCCCTTTAGCTATCGTACTGATCAAGTGCCATGACACTTGAGTGTCATTAGTCACAGAGTTGTTTATAAGCCTACTGGGGATCACAAGCCAGAACCTGGCCCCCCCTCAGAGAGACGAAGGAAGCAATGGCCAATGAAAACTTTACATTTAAATTATGTCATCTTGACATCGACCAGGGAAGACACCCAGAAAGGTAGGCGAATCAAAACAGAGTACTGTCTGGTTGAAAAGTGCGACCTACGTTCTCACAAGTGCAAAAGAACTCCCCCAGAAAGCAAACAAACAAGCAACTTCATCCATCTAACAGCCCCCAGTCAGTTCTTTGAATGATGAAATCTGTTGACTGGAGGGAGGGAGGGAGGGAGGGTGTCAGGAAGCCTCTGAGGCTCACCCAGAAACTAGCGTTATATTATATACAATGCTGGTTTTCTGTGGGATCCCTGTGGAGATCCCTGTTGGCTCCCCTCTCTTAATTACCCACAGAGAAGGAAAACAGGGAGTAACGTAGGAACTTCCCCCCGCAGATCTCAACCTGACAAAGAGACAGCCGTCGGCTATAAAAGCCCCAAAACAACACAAAATCACAGAGGGCCCGGAGCGTTCACAAGAGACCTGGCGGCCAGGATCCTGATCGACCTCCAAAACCCGAGCACAAATACTGTCCAAAGACATACAGCCAAAAGAGCGGCATACATCCATCATCATGTGCACGAGGGTAGACCACAGGATGGCTAGACGCAATGACTCTGTGGACAACTGGAGACATGCAAGCCCTGGAGCAGGGACCAAGAGAAACCGGAGCAACCCAGAACAAGTCCACCGACACACAACTGGTGGCCTGCAGGTAGCGATGTAATGCTGCCATATGACACAGCACGTGATGCACCTCAAGCCGAACCAACCAAGCATCCACAACCAACAAACCCCTCCAGAAATCTGGCGTCTCAATTATCGATTGAAAAAAAGGAGCCGGCTGGAAACGAACAAAACTACCAAACAAACAAAACCCCCTGATGCCAAAGAAGAGCATGAAGCTCCCCAACCCAACCCTCAGTGGAAAAAGCCAACAGAAATAAAGCTGTTCAGAAGCCATCACGAACTGAAGGGGCCACCCCAAGCTGAGGTTAATTGAAAAGGAAAGAACACGGTCCAAAGACCAAGAAGGCTCAGGTGGCGCATGAGCAGGCCAGAGGTGAAAAAACACGAGGAAACTTGCAGAAAGTGACGGAAGTGACATCCACCTCAAATGCAAGCTGCACCAGCTGTGCCAATGTCACATGATAAGAATCGACAGTATTCGGCATGAGATGCTGATCCAGAAAATGCCTAGAGAAAGAACAAAATAACCTTGTCCAACACCAACGAAACCCGACAGAGAAAGAAAATGTTGGAAAAACCACCAAGAAACTTCATACTGTTGCTGAGAAGAAGACCACAGGTGAGACACCAACAAAGAAGCCACCTGATCACTAAACAAATGGCGATACTGTACACACGCATCAGAAAGACCAGATGCGTATTGCGGAGGGTAAAGTTAAACCAGCGAGAACCTCACCAGCCTGACCTGCTGAAAGAGGCGGAGCTATGGAAAAAAATGCCAGAGTTCAAATACAGAGCAGGCAGTGCCTGAAACCAAGGCTGGACTGGCCACCAAGAGGCCAAAAAAATTCTCTCCGATAGGATTCATCCGAGGCAAAACCTGGAGCAACAGCTGGACTGGGAGGGGAAGAGAGACAGGAACCCCCACGCCGGCTAGTCCCGCCGAAAACCGTCCACCGCAAAGGCCTTGCAGTTTGGGAACAGTGCACCGACACAGGAACACTCAGATGGGAAGAGGTCCACCACAGGGTGCTTGTACATCCGGCAAAGCCAAAGGGAGGAGGCAAGACAGGCCGTCTGCCAGGGCGTTGAACACTCCCTGAATGCGAACTGCATGTACACAGAGCTAAACTAAGAATTCAGGTGAAGAGCTACCTGTAGCGACCAGCCTCCAAAGAGTCCCAGACCAAAGCAATTCTCCAAAACAGAATTTTACAAAAGTAAGCCAAACTTTGCTTTCTCCAAAAGCAGAAGCAAAACAGTGTGTGTATTGAGCCCAGGCATAAATCCAAGCAGTTGGGGCGACAGGTGCCCCTGTATACGATACACGAGTCGGTTAAGGACAATGCATTCAAGCACTTTACAAACACACGATGTTAGAGATATGGGTCTATAATTATCTGAATGTGGTTTGGGGATGGGAACAATGACACTTTGTCCAAGTATCAGGTAATACCCCTTCACTTAAACTCATTCTGTATAACACTAAGAGTGGATTACCTGGAACTTTTGAGACTAATCTCAGTAAACTGTAAGTAATACCGTCCTCTCCACGAGCAGTTGATTTGCCCATCATTAGTGCACGATTTAATTCCTATTCAGTTACATCATTAAGGTCCGATACGTTAATGGCTGTACAGGCAAGACTGATGGTTCATTGTCTGTTGGGGTTGTGTTAAGTTTATTCTGTATGTTAATTGGGAGCAAATTGTAGCTCGATGTTAGTGCCCATTGATCAAGGAGAATGTTTGCTTGTTCTAGTGGGCTGTGGTGCAGTGGTTTGGTTGGGCTGCTTCCAGAGATTTTTCATATCTTTTCCCAAACTTCAACTGGTGATGTTTACTCGTTTATACTTTGTAGGAACTCTTCCCAATGTTTATTACGTATAACATTGCTCATGTCTCTCGCCTCTATTTGCAACAAGAAATGCATGCAGGTCAACTTGTGATTTGGTTCGTTTGTATGTATCTCCGAGCTGCATTACTCATTTGTGTTCCTTAAGAAATATGGGGCCAAGGACCCCACTTGGGTGGTGGGCTGGTCCAGTGGTGGTGGCTGGAATTGGACTTGCCAATTCCCTCAAATACATGACTAGATTATTTTAAGTCTTGTTGTCAAGGTTGGAGACACTATCAAGAAGAGCCTAGCAAGTTTTCCTGGGTGGACAAAATGGGCTCTGGCTTAGCAAGCATTTGAGGAGCCTTAACTCAGAAAACAATGCTAATATATGTTTTATGTAGATTATTAATACAGTAAATGGCCATGGACAAATTTGTTGGTTAAACATTACTAAATCCGGGAAAGATTAAAATACAGAGATTGCTTTATGAAAATGACTTTAGTTTTGCACTGTCAATGCCTGTCTCATTAACTCTTATCCTTTTTAATGTAGCAAAACATCACAGTACAAATATAAAATACAAGTTTATAGGTTTTTCATTGTATGATCCCATGAGGAAATGTCGAATCCATATGATGGGATTGAACCCGCATCCTTCAACCCATAATCAAATTCACAGAACTGAGATCAATCCAGGACAAACAGATGATCATACTAACAGTATGACCATCTATAAGTAAAGCAAGGTATTACACATAAGTAACGATAGTACATCAGGTATATTAATGAATGCCTCTTATGTTAAATCTTGAGGAAATAATATTTGTGAACAAATAAACAATGCTACTTGTGAGACTAAGGTCTAAACTGACTATGACAGTTCCTTACCGGTTTCATATTCCTTGAGGCTGTATGTAGACTCTGATTCCGACCCACTCTTGACAACGTATGGAAATGCCGACTTTCTGAAAGTACTAGGCAAGACTTTATTTTGATTGTACTTTCTGTATGTTATTTCTTCTGGCGTTTGTCTTGATGACCCAGGAACAGGGAAGGTTGTCAGATAACCCTGGATATGTTGAGGTTTCTGTGGATTATCAAAAGTTCCAGAAGCACTCGTATGTCCCAATGTTTTGCTACATGTACGTGAGCAGTCATCAGGCGAAAGTGGTGTTCTGTCATTAGTTTCACTTGTGTTGCTATTTACACCTAATGTAGAATGGTTGGAACCTAAATCATTTCTTGAATTTGGATCCCTTATTCTTTCTTTGGTACCAGATCCACTTATGGAAAGAGGGAGAGACTTTGTACGTGTTACCTCACACACCATCTCTGCTGGAATTATATTTTTGGCTAACAAAGGCCTGAAAAATATAGAACAAATTAAAAATATAGGTTTATATAAACTTGGAACTCATTCAATTATCTTTGATCTACTAATTTTCTTTTTGCTACTTAGCCTCAACTATGAACCATTAGTACAAAATGTTTGTGTATCACTCAGAATGTTCAGTATATGATTATTGTTTGTGATGTATGTATGTATATGTATGTACATATGTGTGTGTATGTATGTATGTATATATACAGTGGTACCTCGGAATGCGAGTGTCCCTGTATGCGAGTTTTTCGGAAGACGAGCAGGATTTACTCCAAAAATATGTCTCGGAAGGCGAGGGTTACCTCGGGACGCGAGTTTGTTGATACGTGTACAGGCCGACTGGCGCGTGGTGGCATGGCGATCGCGCCTCAGTTTACCAGTGTCTCGTGTCCAGTGACTATCCCACCTGAATTCTTCACAAGGATTTACAGTTTTTTATCGTTTTTTTGGCCATTTGAGCATAAAAGTTGTCATTATATATCTTGCCATGGGTCTCAAGAAAGCCATTGGTAAGGTTCAACCTAAGAAAATAGCTGTGAGTAGAGGCAGTAGAGGATGTCCCTTCTTGATTAAGAAAATGTGTGAAGTATGGGAAGAACTGCAAAGTTTTGTTGAAAAAACTCACCCAGATAAAGCTGTAGCAGGCCGTTGCATTGACCTTTTAAATGATAATGTGATGTCTTACTACAGACAAGTGTTAAAATGTAGGGAAAAACAAGTGTCTTTAGATAAATTCTTAGTAAAACAAGCAAGTCCTAGTGGTATGGAGGCAAAATGTGCCAGAGTGTGCTCACCAGTGAAGTCCTCACTGCCTGATGTGATAATGGAAGGGGACTCCCCTTCCAAACAGTAACTCCTCTCCTCCTCCCCCTCCTCACCATCTTCCATACGCCTACAGCATTCAACAGCAAGGTAAGTAATAACTTGAACATAGTTTTGTAGGTTTATTTAGATGAATTAGGTATAAAAATTTAGTTTGATGTGGGGTTTTTGGGAGAGTCAGGAACGGATTAATTCATTTCCCTTTATTTCTTATGGGGGAAATTAGCTTCGGAATGCGAGTTTTCGGAATACGAGGCGTCTCCAGGAACCAATTAAACTCTTAAACTGAGGTATGCCTGTATAAATATAAATTTATACAAAGTAGATAAAGACAGGCTATTTAACACAAGGGGCACATGCACAAGGGGACACGGGTGGAAACTGAGCGCCCAAATGAGCCACAGAGATATTAGAAAGAACTTTTTTAGTGTCAGAGTGGTTGACAAATGGAATGCATTAGGAAGTGATGTGGTGGAGGCTGACTCCATACACAGTTTCAAGTGTAGATATGATAGAGCCCGATAGGCTCAGGAATCTGTACACCTGTTGATTGACGGTTGAGAGGCGGGACCAAAGAGCCAGAGCTCAACCCCCGCAAGCACAACTAGGTGAGTACAACTAGGTGAGTACACAACACTTTGTACTGAACGGGGTGCGAATAGCTTGAGCTACGTCAACCCTTTGTGTGTATTTATACCTTAATAAACTTATTTGAATTTGAACAAGGGAATGAACCGTCACAATCTGTCCGCCAGGACAATGGACACGCCCCGGATATGAACCACACTGAGAACTAAATCCCGATAACTCACTAGAAGAGCAACCCGATGTGACTGGCCCCAAAGAGCCATGGACTGTAGATTTCCCCCCCCCCTGCAGTTCAGACAATGAACCACCGGAGCACAGTCCAAATGGAATCAGATCGTAGAGTTCCGAGCAAGCCGAATCTGAAGCCCACCGCCCCTGGCTGGCCTGGTAAGTACTGGTCAAAGCCTCAGCCTAGAGAGGAGGCATCCATGAACACATCGAAGCAGGGCTCCAGGGGGCACCAAGGAATCAAAACCTGAAAACTCCGAAGAGGAGGCCGGCGACACAGTCGCTGACGCAAGGCCCCCGGGGGACGAACCCAGCGATCACGAGAGAGGCGGAAGGGATGGCCCCGAAGGAACCAGAACAGATGCTGCAACCAAACCAGACCCAGCAGGTAAACGATCACAGTGACGTTCAGATTTCGACACAATTGCTTGAGCAACCGCCGAGTGACCCGAGACCCCATCAGAAACAGACGACTGCGGGACAACAGCCGGAGCAACCACTTGTTTCTCAGACGACGTGCCTGAGAGAGACAAGGACGCTGTCCGGGAATCCCAGACAAGGCTCAGCCAAGTCCGAACCCGAGACAGGACCAGATAAGACTTCCGCTAGTTCTCCAGGAGCCCGAACCCGGTGAGCAACGAAAGAACCACACCCCTGGCAAGCAGACACGCAGACTTGCTGGGAGCCCACACCAACCAGTCTTCGAGGTAGGCCAAAACCCAAACACCTACCAGATGCAGACAGGCAACCACAACCAGACGCAGACAGGCGACCACAACCCAGGCAAGACACATGAAAACACGAGGTGTCAGATTTAGCCCCATGGGAAGGCAACGAAAGTGGTAAGCTTGCCGCCAGAGACAACATCCAAGAACTCAGACATAGGACAGAGTGGTCATCCGAAAAGAGGGGCCTGGAATCCAAGGGTTCAGACGGGACAAGTCCAGAATGAACCGCAGATCCGCTCAGTCCCATTTCGGGATTGGAAACACGCAGGAAACTCCCTTGAGGGACGAGGTCGTTTCGACCACGCCCAAGTGCACCCACTCCAAGATGACCCGACAAAGCAAAGGGGAAGATGCCTGTCCCGCCAGCCCAGAATACCCCGGAGGGACAAAGAGTCGCCCAATTCCACCGCAGGCCAGAAGACACGACCTGAAATGTCCATGAATCGTGGAACCAAGAGCGGGCAAACAGAGTCAGCTTTTCCCCAGTACCCGTAAAAGGATCAGCAACTTTTCTGAGAACCCGACTTGCGAGCAGACGAAAACGGCTCTGGAACAGGCGCCGGCTCAGAAACTAGCACCAAGGAAAGCACATGAGTGTGCACCCCGGACAACCAACATATCCGAAAGAGGGTGGCAACTAGCAGAAACCGCCTGCAAACAACTGCGGACAAAACAGATGAAAATCTAAGAGCCAAGGCTCAAGCAGAATCCACAGAGAGCGAGGACAGCCTGCCGACACGCAAGGCATAAAACAGAGACACCTCCTCCTGGAGGATAGGCACATACAGTTTGAGCAGCACCGTTGAAGTCGATGCCACAGACAAAGACCCGGCACTCAATGCCTCCACAAACCAGTCTGAAGACAGCCCGAGAAGGGAAAAGAAGCAGAGGACCGAAGCCAAATGCTCGCGAGCACAATAATCCTCCACAACAAAAGCAGCCGAAAGGGAAGGGAAGGGACCTGGACATTCAACTGCAGCACACCAACCTCACGAGGAAGCACAGGGGCAAAGAAGCACGCGTTAAGGTGCTCAAATGCACCCCCCTAAATACACCTGCAACACAGTGGTGAGGTCTCGCCACTCAAGTGTGCTGGTATGATAGAACGTGTGCCACGCCCCCAACGAAAATAAGGGCAGTCCGCAAGCCAGGAAGACGCAAGAACCTCATAACTCACCCAATACATGAAAAAAGACCCAAACTCATAGAAACCAGGTCCATCGCAGGCAAAATCAGGGTCTCACAGGAGGTAGTCACCAAGGGCCTCCCGAGCCTCCTCAGGGGAAATACGAGAGGTAGAAAACCCTCCAGATGGACGAAGCTGCAGAACCCAAGGGAACTCTAAAACAAACCTGGGGGTGGGGGTGGGGGGAATTGGGTTGATGAAACCCCATAAATTTGTACAAGTGTTGACACGAAAACCCCAAACCTTGCAACAGCAGACCCCACCCCGAATGCACCAAAGCCCAGGCAGTCTCGAAAGGGGCCCAAGCACCCCAGGCCGCCTCCCCCCTCCAACCACGGAATCCTCCAAACCAGGACCCAGAGCAGAGCCGTCCTCAATGCCCTCCACCCTTGAAGAAAAGGCAAGAGGCCAAGGAAAAGGCAGCAAGGAAAGGGTCTTGCTGAAAGGACCCAGAAGCCTCAGTGGGAAGAACAGGCTCGAATGCCTCCATCCCCGCATCAAATGGAGCAACCCTCAGAGCTGCCCGAGTCTCATCCCCAGGTAAACCCTGCCCCAACTCCGAAACCCTCAGACGTTTGGGAGCCGGCAGCAGTGAGGTAGGAGAATGGTGAACCACACCAACAAGGGGAAGACAAAGGGGCGCAGACTGAACTATGGTCGAAGTGACCAATGCCCCAAGTCTGGGTCCATAAAACCAAAATGGGGCAGCCCCGGGGCATTCGAGTGGGCAACCAACTAAACATGATGCAGCAACCTAACCCTAGCATGAAATGAACATGCTCTTTGACCCCTAACCTCAGCTACAGCAAAATGGGTAAATTGGAGTATGAAGGGTAAACAAGTGTCACAAGACTCTGGGTCAAAGGTGTTGGCGATCCAACAAACAGCATGACAGAGGCAGAACAAGTGATTGTCACCCTGAGACAGCAGCAATGAACAACCTTCAAATTTGTGCAAAGCGAGATGGGATTATGAGGACACATCCATCGGTCAACCAAGCCCCGACAGGGCTTTCCAGGGCCAGAAGGAGGATGTATCCCTATGGGAAGCCCAGGCACTGGTGCTGCCAAAGCTGGTTGTAACCCCATGAATTAGCCGGGCAAACTGCCCTTACCCCCCCCCCCCATGTGGTGAGCAATCTTGGAAGCCCAGAGGTCTTTGTCCTGAACCCAGGTATCACCTAATAGGAACCTCGGCAGCCTCCCAACGGGCAATAAAAACAACTAAAAAGGAAAAAGAACCCCGAGGAAGCACCACAACCCAGGGGACCTGAAAGAGGCATGACCACTGCAATTATGCAAGCGATGCAGCTCAGTGCACCCCAACCAGCAACAACCACCCCTCACCCAGGACCAAACAAAAACACCGAAAACTAAGCTGACCCTAAAGGCAAGGCTGAAGTCAAGCAACCACTACCTCTAGGGGAATGGGAACCCAAAGGACCCAGAGAAGAGCAATGAAAGTACACCGCTGGGACCCAAGGGGTGTACTCACTGGGCACTTGGGGACGGGAGCCCTAAGCACATGCAGTCCTTGGTACTAACTCCTGGCCACCGCACCAACACACAGCAGGAACACCAGCAGGGTGAAAAGCCCGTCAGGCAACTGAGACCAGAGTAAACGTCCACCCCGTTTAGCTTCAGTCGGCAAACTGACGGTGAGTTTCTTGCCCCTGTTCGGTCTCAGGTTGCCAATTTTCTACCAGGAGGGGTCTGTTTTGAAGTGCCTACCTTTCTGGGTGCTCATCCCCAGTTGATGGCAGACATGATTACTTTCATACATGATCATTTCATAGGTCATTACTCCCTGTGCTTCTCTGAGGGGACCACTTTCTGGCTAGTGGTCCCCTGTAGGCTTGACAACTCCATTTGACTGAAGCCTCGTACTAATATTAGCCAACATCAATCCAATAGCTCCAAGGAACAAACAGGGCTCCCCCACAGAAAAGCATCGAGTGCATTGTTAAACCCTAGCAGGGTTTAACTTAATTGTTCAGAATGATTTAGGTCATCACAACTGTAATCTGTTAAATAGTCATTTTACATATTAAAAATTATGAATTTTACATATTAAAAATTATGAATTTTACATATTTAAATTATGAACTTTCATTAATGTGTAATCATTATTTTTCTTTTATCTGAAACACTAGATTTATGAATTTGGGTTTGATTCCCTGCATTGTCACGATGGCTTTCTTATAGTAGTACTGTATACGACAAAGAAGAATATTTCAGCGGTAGCCCTCGGCAGTGGTGATAAAACCCTCCCTCACCCCTGCCCTGAATCATCTCCCACATTCGTACAAACACTTTACTGTATATGTACCCGCAACTACTCTAAATTCACCTCACTTAATTTTGGTGTTATTTTTAGTCGCTTCCAGTGGCATATCTGGACTCCTTCAATATTTGCAATATCTTCCAATGTTTTAGACTTGCACAAAATGTTAAGACCCTTATCTTATCTTATCTTGAGATGATTTTGGGGCTTTAGTGTCCCCGCGGCCCGGTCCTCAACCAGGCCTCCACCCCCAGGAAGCAGCCCGTGACAGCTGATTAACACCAAGGTATCTATTTTACTGCTAGGTAACAGGGGCATAGGGTGAAAGAAACTCTGCCCAATACTTCTCACCGGCGCCCGGGATCGATCCCGGGACCACAGGATCACAAGTTTAGTGTGCTGTCCGCTCGGCCGACCGGCTCCCCTACAGAACCTATTGTTCACAAAACTCTCAGACTTTTTAAGACTTAGTTTGGCCTGGTTAACTGGTTGCTGTTAAGGCGTTTACTTTGTCATTTCACATCATGCAGAGACTAAGTCACAATAACATGGCTGAAAATTTATACTGTACTAGACTTGTACATGAAAACAAAATCAATATTATTTTGGTCCTCCCTGGACCCTTATTTAATAAGGCCATGCCTGTGACTTGATAAATGTCCAGGATGAACAGAACCATTGTCATTTTCATTCTTTTCACACAGCACAGTAAAAAATATATATGTTGTCAGGGACAGGAAGCCTTTACTTTTGCTTATCAGAGTCACCCTAGGTTACCCACAGCAATCATCAATAGTTACCTAGCTCCTGGCTAGGTAACTAGCCTACCTAGCTCCTGGGCACCTGACAGCTGGGTGGACAGCGCTTCGGATTCGTAGTCATGAGGTTTTGAGCTTTATCCCAGTGAAAGCAGAGAGAAATGGGCAAAATATATCTTTCACCCTGATGCCCCTATTACCTAGCAGTAAATAGGTATCTGGGAGTTAGATAGCTGCTACGGGCTGCTTCCCGGGCCGCGAGTTACAAAAAGGACTGGTCGAGGACCGGGCCGCGGGGATGCTAAGCCCCAAAATCATCTCAACATAACCTGGATACCTTATTTACTGATAGAAACAGAGGCATCAGATGAAAGGAAACCTAACTCAACTATTTCTCTTCCACCCAGGGATTGATTCCAGGTTCCTCCAATTCAAGTTGAGGACATATCCCAATGTACCACACAGGACCCGCTTCACACTATATCACCTAAACGTCCAGGTTGAATTGTCAATCCACCACAAACCATTAACTTCTTCAATAGTAATGCTTTGAATAATAATATACATTTCATAACTTACTTAACATCATTATAGTGGAAGCGTTCAACTCCTAAGGCTTGACCAAGAGAATCCTTCCCACAATTTACATAAAGGACGTCACTGGGGTCAAACAGACTACGGTTACTGTACAGGTAAACTTTCAACAACTGCAATATCTGAAATAATAATAATCATATTAATTTTTCAACTCAATATTTACTATTATTATTATTTACACACACTGATATGCACACAGTGGCTGTAAATGTAAATATCTACCTACTATTTAATGTCTTACATTCAATTATTATAGAACATTTAAAAATGTAAATTGTCTATGTATAAAAAAAAAAAAATCTGGAAAATGCACGACTAATGAGCCGTACTCTTTATGCAAATGCATGTACAGTGCAGCATTATATAGAGGTAATACAGAGAGTGTGTGTGTGGGGGGTTGGCAAACTGCACTTGGAAAAGCAGGAAACTTGTGTAAATCACATCGTTTTCAAAGCTCTCGGCTTTGCGGAAGACGATGGCCGTCTCCCTTGAACAAGTCCACATCATAAGCATCTATCTAGGTAACAGACATTTGAAAACAGTTTGTATCTCGGTTTACTCTGAGATACAAACAGTTGTATCTCAGTGAAATGTCCAAACAGTACATTACTGAGAAAAAACTCATTAATACTATATCTATCCAAATAATGTACATGTAAGTAATTATCAAAAGAAGGCACCAAGCCGGGGAGGCCACGTAGCACTGTCAAATGTGTGGGATATTCAAAAGGAGCTATATATCACTAAGGATGCCAATACGAGAACAAAAACGCACACGGCGAACCACATCATAGGTATTCGATTTACCAATGATTCTATGGAGGGACAGGTGACCGCGAGGAACAGTCAGGAAGCAAGACGCACGCACATCCTGGAAGCCAGGACATTGAAGGATAAGCACGACTGGAAAAGGGACAATGCAGTTTGGATAATAAGTAGCAGGGCGGTGCTCCATTAAGTGCCCATGAGTTAAATGGGTATGGCAAATATGTAACTCTGACGGAGCCATTTTCCATCGCCGGTTACAGTGGTAAGAGGAAGGCCACGGGGACACACTACCCTTAAGAGCACACAGCTTGTTACCAGTAACAGAAGACCAGTGATCCTGCCAACGGGCATGGATTGAGGAATGAATAACTGGGTAGAAGTTGAAATAAGCAACACCTCTGCAGAAAATAGGACAAATGTGGATAGCCTCCTTCGTGGCAGCATCCTCACGCTCATTTAAGAAAACACCAATATGGCTGGGGAACCCAGCAAAACTCCACTGCCTTAAATCTGCTGGAGGTAAGAAACAGCCAATATTGAATTTCGACGACCACAGGATTGACAGGATTAGAGGACTCTAGAGTCATGAGGGCACTGCAACAGTCAACTACAACAACAAAGGAAGAACGACGGCAAGAAAGCAGTTGATGAAGCGCATACAAAATTGTATAAAGTTCTGCCATGAAGATGCTAGTCTCTAGAGGCAGGTAAACACACATTCGTGCAGTCAGGAAATACAACGGAGTAGCCTACACTGCCGGCAGACTTAGATCCATCTGTGAAGACGGAGATGGAGCTGGAATGTAAGAAAAGTGAGCAGGAAAAGGCGTTTCAGAACTGTGGGGGTAAAAGCTTTAGTCATGCGGGTCAAGGTTCTACAAAAATTAGGAAGAGGGACCGCCCATGGGGGCCAAGGATGGAACGACACGAGGAGAAACATTGGTAACATGAACCGAGAAAACCTTGCAAGTAAGACAACCGTACAGAAAGGGGAAGGTGGTGAAAGGGAACAGGGCCTACAGGAGGGGTAATGGTCAAAGTACGACATAAGCGAGAGTGAGGGTGTTGTAGAGACCACAAAGTAGCGATCACGACGAACCTGCAGAGAGGATGCCAGTTTCAACATACAGGCTTCCAGAATTCAGAAGAGACAAAAGGTTCAAGAAGGCGACTCCGAGTGTTTGTCAGAACATCTCCCCAGAGGGTATGCAGACAGTTAAAAAATGGGCAACTGAAAAAGTAGGGCGGGACGAAGGGAATATCACGACGGATCAAGAGAGCAATAGAGTTATGGCCCTCAGCAAAAGCTGGAGAGGGTAAGAGAAAAGAATAACCATGGAAGCGACCAGGACGAGTGCCAAGCATCGACTTCTGGAGACAAACACAAAGCGGTGAAACTGCAACTGAAATGGGAGGGAAAGCAGGGATAGTGTCGGAGCAAACACTATCAATGTGCTTGCTTCAACACTATCCTCAAACTACATGTTAGATAGATACATACTGTATGAATAAATTCCTCACCTTCCAAAGAGTCAGAAGGTGAGGAATATATTGAAGCCTTCTTACCCGCCAGAGTGGAAGAAGAAGAGCCAGGCTTACGTTTCTGACAGAGACAGACGTACCATCAGCAATGTACTGGGGGACTGCCTCGACGGTTTCAACAGAAGGAGAATGGGAACAGTCAACATGAACACTGGGAGGAGGATGGACAATGGCCCGAACCGACAGGTAGTGAGGAGGGCCATGAGACAGAGGGGAGGGCTGATAAGGAGTGGTGCGAGAAGGGAAAGAGGACACAGGAGACAAGGAAGACCCGGAAGGAAGGAAGGAAGGAAGGAAACATGAGACAGAGAACCAGGAGGAAGACCCTCTGGCCTAGAACACATAGGAGCAGACAAGGTGGTAGTGGAGGCGTCGGAGTCCAAAGCCTCGAAATGATAGGATCCATAGTCTGGCTCAGGCCTGGTCGCCTACCCCCATAAGTCTGAGAAGTAAAGGAGGGTCAGAAAAGAGCATAACACGAATTGAAAAAAATCATCAACGAATAAGCCCCCAGACCCACCATGTAGCCACAATTAGAGGATAGAACACCCGACAAGACGGCCCCCCCCCCCAGGGGTGCATTGTGGATATACACTCTGCAATCGTCACCTGAAGAGCCATCAGTCCTTTGAGATCGGGCTCAGCAACGAAGGCAAAGTTTGACAATAAAAGTGCCCTCTCGCTCGACAACGTCACGTACCATAGTTCTATGGGTGAGTGTGTATGCCTCCCCAAACACCCGGCATCAAAACAGAAGAAGACATCAGAATGAACATTCAAGAATGGCAAAATGTCGGCAGGTAGGGAACAATCTGAAAGGAGAAGAGGTGGGGAGGAAAAACAAAACATGAGAAAGAGGAAAAAGCTACTGCAAAATTTGAGAGGACAGCAGCAGGAGCATAAGGCTTCAAAAGGACAAAGGACAAGACATCCCAAAGAGCATTGCACTCCGGCAGCCGCCCACTAAGCCCCCTCACGACAGCAACGAGCTGGAAAGGAAGGGGAATAATGTATATGCAATGAACATCTGAATTGACTTTAGCTTAACTACCATATCAAAAACTGGTGCCAAAGAACAGAGTTTGAGGAATAGAGCAAGAGAGAGAGAGCAAAAGGTACATGAAGCCTGGAAGTAACTGAAAACACACCATAAAACACAGCATATAATGCATGGCAGGCCAGAGGAACCATGCTGGAATGATGGGCAAAACACAGTCAAAGTTAGATAACTCATTCTTGGTAAGAAACAAAGGAGGATAAAGCCAAATCAACCAATCCCTGTAAAAAAAGACTGAGTTCTACAGACAACAAAGAAGAGTGTGGACATTGCTGATCCTAAGTTTAAGAAGAAACAAAGTCTTAAATGTGATGTCCTGCACAACTGAGAATCCTAAAAATGAATAGGGACTAAAATCAAGAATCCACATATAATCACACTTATTTGGATAGTCACTGATTACAGCACTGAATGTATTGAAACAACTTTCTGGTGGCGACCCCCCACTCTCTACCCTAGCTTATACACTGGGTAACTAAGCTTTAGCTTTGTTGAATATATTAAATTACATTTAATATTAATTAAATATATATATATATATATATATATATATATATATATATATATATATATATATATATATATATATATATATATATATATATATATATATATATATATATATATATATATATATATATATATATATATATATATATATATATATATATATATATATATATAATATATATATATATAATATATATATATATATATATATATATATATATATATATATAATATATATATATATAATATATATATATATATATATATATATATATATATATATATATATATATATATATATATATATATATATATATATATATATATATATATATATATATATATATATATATATAATATATATATATATATATATATATATATATATATATATATATATATATATATATATATATATATATATATATATATATATATATATATATATATATATATATATATAATATATATATATATATATATATATATATATATATATATATATATATATATATATATATATATATATATATATATATATATATATATATATATATATATATATATATATATATATATATATATATATATATATATATATATATATATATATATATATATATATATATATATATATATATATATATATATATATATATATATATATATATATATATATATATATATATATATATATATGCGGAAAATCCACAGAGAAATATGAAATGAGGTGAACGTTTCGGCTTTGTTAAAGCCTTTGTCAACACCAGACTGACCAGACTGGTCAGTCTGGTGTTGACAAAGGCTTTAACAAAGCCGAAACGTTCACCTCATTTCATATTTCTCTGTGGATTTTCCGCATAAAATGATCAGTGTTTTGTGATCGTCAATTGCATATATATATATATATATATATATATATATGTCGTACCTAGTAGCCAGAACTCATTTCTCAGCCTACTATTCAAGGCCCGATTTGCCTAATAAGCCAAGTTTTCCTGAATTAATATATTTACTATAATTTTTTTCTTATGAAATGATAAAGCAACCCTTTTCTCTATGTATGAGGTCAATTTTTTTTTATTGGAGTTAAAATTAACGCAGATATATGACCGAACCTAACCAACCCTACCTAACCTAACCTAACCTATATTTATAGGTAAGGTTAGGTTAGGTAGCCAAAAAAAGCTAGGTTAGGTTAGGTTAGGTAGGTTAGGTAGACGAAAAAACATTAATTCATGAAAACTTGGCTTATTAGGCAAATCGGGCCTTGAATAGTAGGCTGAGAAGTGCATTCTGGCTATTAGGTACGACATATATATATATATATATATATATATATATATATATATATAATAATTAAATTACAGAATACCCTACACTAAAATGTCAAATGTTTGAGAGAGCTTTGACTTTCTCTATTACCTCTCTGAAACTATAGGCCTTGTTTGTAGCTCCTACAGCAGTAAAGGTCTCTCTCAAGACTGGAGTAAGGTAAAACATTCTGGGTGGGACAGCAGCAGCAGCCACAGATTCGCCTTTCAGGACCCGACCACCAGTGTCTGCATGTATCTGTGTGGGGCTCTGGGACTCTGCACGTTTCTCCAAATTACCACTGCTATTATTTAATAAATTTCTGGACACATCAGCACTTGTTCTCTCTCTACAGAACTCTTTCACAGCACTACATTGTCTTCCTGTATCACGATGAGGTGGGCAATCACTTTCTCTACAGACATTATGCTGGACGTCAACTGCTGAATGAACTTCCTCTGGAAGGCTGGAACTAAAGGCATTGTCATTTCTTTGCATCCTGATCTGTCACAAGTACAAAGTTAATCATTATTAGGCTGTTAATGTACATAATACAGTATATCGTTCAAACAAACTGACAGAACACGATTTGATTATACGAGAGCATCCCAGAGCCAGAATATGAAAAGTGTGGTGTAATGACCACAGGTTTGTATTTTGACTAGGATGGTGGAAATTCAGGGCACCTCTACCTAATGGATCAAATCTGCCCACAAAATTTCCAATCCAAAATTCTGATAGGTCTATATTGTGTGTGGCCGTTACATTTGCTTGTCTCTCCTATGTCTATGTCTTTATTAATTATTAATTAATTAATTAATTATAGTATGGATATGGATTTACCCAAAACACTATGCATGTTAGTGGCTTTGCAAGAATGTAAAAATATCATTAATGTAATCTGACCAACCCATTGTACCGTGTTGTAAATAAATTATTATTATTATGATGCATCATCTCAGTATTATATTTATATCAGTATTTCTATATTTATCAGTACAGTACTGCATGTTTACTGTACATGTACTGTATATGCATCAGCCTCAGATGGTGGCCCCAAGCTGTTAATACATTAGGACCTGAATTGTATACTGTATATATATTGCCTACATCAGTGCCTCAACACATTAGGGACACTTACTCATCCACAATCACTCATTGTTTTATCTAACCACACTACTTCATTCAACACACACTCATGCACGATCAAATGCAATTGGCTGCTTCCCAACACACACCTTTGCTAGATTACAATACAGAATAGATGAATATTACAAGAGGTTTAAGGCTAGTTTATTAATTACAGTTGCCACTCATGATATTCATCACAATATATTATAAACATACTACTGTTGAATATACTGAAGACAGTATGTGTGTGTATATATACCGAATATATTTTAATTATAAAATAGGATATTCTTTGAAGAAAGGCATCCTGTCATTCTAAACTTGGATTACCTTTGCTCAGGCCCACAATTTTGACCAGTAAACATAGCTCTTATCATAATCTTGGCCGTTAAGAGTGCCAAATACATTTTGTAATCTTTACTGAAAACTTTGCATATACACTACTGTATAATCAAGGTACCCAGATCTTTGAAATTTTATCTACTGTGCCTTAAGACTGTTCCATTAAGCACCAATTGTCTGTAAATGAACACAGGCAACACAGTAAAAAATTAAACTGAGAAATGTTATCCAGGAAAGCATCTAGATCCAATCTAGTGATCACATTCATTTCATTTTTCCTCAGCAATCATATGGATATGTTATGTTATAGGTAATTTAATTCAAAGGTAAGGCAAAATAATCACTATCAGAAGAAAACACTAAGCCAGTATGACTATACATGGTGGGTTATAGGATTAAGATATGTTCTACATCCTTTTACTAATGTAATTATGTGGGAAAAGGGTAAATACCCATCAGTCTGGAGACTGGGTGTCCAGATACCATCAGATTTTTAATAATTTACTTTTCTTTGTTAATACAGTTCCATTATCTCCATGGGAGTTGTATAAACAGCATCCAAAGATTTGTGTCATTTTATAAAACATCTCTGATTTAGATTCATATCATAACTCTTGATGGATCCTAATACAGTACAATATTACTATTTTTAAAATTAACCGAGACTATCAACGACCAAGTGTCCGGAGACCAGCGTCCTTACCCCTAGGAATAAATATGTTCCAAGAAGTTAGGCAACTGTTGGGAGTTGCATTATGGGAAAGGTCCATAGTTAGCCATGGAAGACCTACATACACCTGACAAGCTTCCTGTCCCTAACACTGGGAAAATAAAATAGTTTCTGTTATTCAAATTGGTTTTTTCAATTTTTTTTTGTCAATTGTACCTGTAGTCTACTTAAAGTGTGTTGCTCAACTATAATTTTTAGATATATACGTGATCTGCCTAGGGCCCTAATATAGTAAAATATTAGGTCTGGGTTAAGTTAGGATTTTATCACATTCTTTTGGCTGTGTTATACACCACCAATGACGTACAACTTTTTTTTATATATACAGTACACAAGAGTTGTTACATGGTTGTAGAGCCACTAGCACGCGTAGCGTTTCGGGCAGGTCCCTGGAATACGATCCCCGCCGCGAAGAATCCTTGTTACAACCAAGTACACATTTTACTGTTAAGTTAAACAGAGGCTACAGTTAAGGAATTGCGCCCAGTAAATCCTCCCCGGCCAGGATACGAACCCATGACACAGCGCTCGCGGCACGCCAGGCGAGTGTCTAACCACTACACCACAGAGACTTAAAATACAGAACTATTAAATAGAAAACAAAATCAGGCACAGTTGTGACATTACACTTTTTCAATAGGTAAAAACATATGCTGTATAATATTAATGACAAATATAGAAGTTTCTTTGTACACATGATGGGTAGCAAAAGGAATTTAAAATATAACTAATTTTAACCTTACATAGTATAGCCAGAATTAGCTATATGTAACCTATGCTAACATTATATAACACAGTCCTGCCTGACCTATACTAACAACACACAACACAGCCCTGCCTGACCTATACACACAACACAGCCCTGCCTGACCTACACACACAACACAGCCTGACCTATACACACAACACAACCCTGCCTGACCTATACACACAACACAGCCCTGCCTGACCTACACACACAACACAGCCCTGCCTGACCTACACACACAACACAGCCTGACCTATACACACAACACAACCCTGCCTGACCTATACACACAACACAGCCCTGCCTGACCTATACACACAACACAGCCCTGCCTGACCTATACACACAACACAGCCTGACCTATACACACAACACAGCCCTGCCTGACCTATACACACAACACAGCCCTGCCTGACCTATACACACAACACAGCCTGACCTATACACACAACACAGCCTGACCTATACACACAACACAGCCTGACCTATACACACAACACAGCCTGACCTATACACACAACACAGCCTGACCTATACACACAACACAGCCTGACCTATACACACAACACAGCCTGACCTATACACACAACACAGCCTGACCTATACACACAACACAGCCTGACCTATACACACAACACAGCCTGACCTATACACACAACACAGCCTGACCTATACACACAACCCTGCCTGACCTATACACACAACACAGCCTGACCTATACACACAACCCTGCCTAACCTATACACACAACACAGCCTGACCTATACACACAACCCTGCCTGACCTATACACACAACACAGCCTGACTTATACACACAACACAGCCTGACCTATACACACAACCCTGCCTGACCTATACACACAACACAGCCTGACTTATACACACAACACAGCCTGACCTATACACACAACCCTGCCTGACCTATACACACAACACAGCCTGACCTATACACACAACACAGCCTGACTTATACACACAACACAGCCTGACCTATACACACAACCCTGCCTGACCTATACACACAACACTGCCTGACCTATACACACAACCCTGCCTGACCTATACACACAACACAGCCTGACCTATACACACAACACAGCCTGACCTATACACACAACACAGCCTGACCTATACACACAACCCTGCCTGACCTATACACACAACACAGCCTGACTTATACACACAACACAGCCTGACCTATACACACAACACAGCCTGACCTACACACACAACACAGCCTGACCTATACACACAACACAGCCTGACCTATACACACAACACAGCCTGACCTATACACACAACCCTGCCTGACCTATACACACAACCCTGCCTGACCTATACACACAACACAGCCTGGTGACCCCACACAGTAACAACGTGCAGCAAGAGCACACCGTGACCTTCAACCGTCTTGACCTGACCCCCCACAATAGAATGGGCTCTCATGACCCCAGTCCTCCACAACCACCTATCCCTCGTCCCGGTGAGGCCACACATGTAACACTACTTGAGATACAAGTATATATATATATATATGTATATAGTATTGTGGTATAAGGGCCGGAGGAGGGCCGGGAAGACCTCACACATCCGCCGCCTCCAGCAGCCGCACCCTCAATGGTCACTCCTTGAGACCCGCCCTCTGTCCTTCCTTTACCTGAATTTACCTGAGAGCCACTAGTGGCCTCGATGTTGACAGCATGCCGGCGGCTTGTTGAAGATCCCTTCTATTTGCCTTGATATTTTTTTTCAGTTTTAGTTTAAAAGTTAAGTTTTTGGTGTTTTACAGCTTCGGCGGGTAAGCGGTTCCACGGGTTAATAACCCTGTGGGATGAGAAAACATCGTCAATGAAACAATATTCCATTCTATGTCAAATTCATTGTTTAATATAGGTGAGTTTGTGCATCCATCGCTTAAATCAAGTATATAAATATACGTTGTTTGTGTTTACAGAGGTAAATGAACGAATTGCAAGGCTGGTTACGAAACGCTTTCACAGTGACAGTTGCTGGTCGCTGGACAAACTATACTATATTCTATATCCATTTCCTTCTTTAATATACGTTTAGTGTACATCTATTGCTTAAATCAAGTATATAAATATACATTGTTGGTGTGCATTGAGGTAAATGAAGAATTGCGAAGCTAATTAAGACACTAGAATTCAAATTGTGGTTAGCTCGTGTCTGGCCAAATTGTCCTTCGATGCCGAGTACCACCATTCAACAAAATCAACATGTTTATTCATGTAAAAGTACATACAAAGAAGATGAGTTACAAACATAATGTTGGAGTTATAGATAGAGGCAGTACATACAAGGCCTAAAGCTACTAATACGCGCAGCGTTTTGGGCAAGGTGGGGGGGGGGGAACTCTTAGACTAAACCTTAATACTAATTAAGATTAAAGTATAAATTGTGTAGAAAAAGGAAAAAAAGGGAGGGAGGACATGGCAGAAATCAGCAATTAAACAAGTTGGTCAACAAACAGTATTGTTTGAAAATAGCAAGACATGGGTTAACATTTAGGGGGTAAGATAGGTTACATGGAGTTAATTAGGGAGAAAGGGGGGATTATCAGGGGAAAGCGCTAAGCCATTACGACTATAAAGCACTGGGAAGGGGTCAGGATAAGAATTTGGGATGGGACGGGGGGAAAGGAATGGTGCCCAACCACTTGTGGACGGTCGGGGATTGAACGCCGACCTGCATGAAGCGAGACCGTTGCTCTACCGTCCAGCCCAAGTGGTTGGGCTTAACTTAGCTTTTATCTTTCCTCAAAAACCTCACTCACCATCTAACGTCGAATTTGATTATTATTACGCTTTGGTGCATTCAATCAACGATAAATTCAATAGATAAACTCCTAATTTTCATGCGTGTTCATGTAATTGGTGCATTTGAAAGGTCACTAGCGAGTTGTGAATGATATATTCGGCTCTCACTAATGCCAGAAGTTCAAGTTCAAGTATGTTTATTGAGATAAGCAATAAATACATCTCAAAGGGATAGAGTAGCTTAGGCTATTTCTACCCCCCAGACTAATGCCACAACCCTCCCTCCTTCCATCACATAAATAAATAAATAAATAAATAAATAAATAAATAAATAAATAAATAAATAAATAAATAAATAAATCACCAGGAACAGTGAGTAATTCCATAAGAGAAAACTATGCAATCATTGGGTAACTTATTTTTTGGGTTCTCGATCCTAGCAAATCCTCATTGATTTAGAGTTAATTACCACAATGACCACGTTGCATTAAATGCTAAATGCCGTTTCAGTGTCATTTAACATTCTTAGTCTTTGTTATTGCATTATATTTGTGTATTGTTGTATTTTCCTGTGTTTTGTGGTGGGTTTGGTATTGGGCTTCTTGTTGTTCACCTTGTAATTTGGCTGTTGGGTTGTTTTCGTGTCGTTGTTTTTAATGTACTGATGTAGCATGCTTGCCATGTAAATAAATAATTCAATAAATAAATATAACAAAAATAGTGAGTAATTCTATAACAGAAAACCATGCAAATCGGTCAATGGGTAACTATTATTTTTGGGTTCTCCATCATAATAAACCCATGGACCCCTGGGTGGACCCCTGGGTGGACCCCTGAGTGGACCTCTGGGTAGACCCCTGGGTGGACCCCTGGGTGGACCCCTGGGTGGACCCCTGGGTGGACCCCTGGGTGGACCCCTGGGTAGGCGTATGTACGCGCCCCGCCGGAAGGTTCACATACAGGGGTTCAGAGACGGCGTTTCCTAATTTCTGAGGATGGGTAAGGTGGGAGGGGGGGGGTGGTTGGGGAGGGGTATGTGGGGAAGGTGCAGGCCGCCGCGCCCCTGGGGTGTTGGGTTGGGGGGTCGGTCTGGGAGGAAGTGGGGGAGGGGTGATGTCATTAGGCTGCTGAGTATCAGGGGTGGACACAGGACGGGTACCCAGCATGTGACCTGATGTGACCCCATCACCTGCACCTTGTGGATCGTCACCTGACTCCTGAACCGTGCTATCCACTTGGACAGCCTGTCTCGGTCTCAACATTTCAACTTCCACTTCATCTGAGGGGTTATACAGTGTCATGGCTAAGTCCCTACGTGCGGCCTAAGCCTGATCCTCTGAAAACCGTACTGCTGGAAGGTTCCGTTGGCTAAACCCTCCCTGACTCCTTAATGTCCTATCTGAACTCATGATGCCAGTAAACTACTTCCGAACGACTAGTTCACCGGACTAGCGCTGACCCAAAAATGTTGAAAAAAAAAGAAAAAAAAAAGGTCTTTGGAACTAACAATAATCCACTGTGAACATGACAAAAACTCACAACGTCGTTATAAACAGCCCCTTTACTTAACAAGGATGGTAATTTCAATGTCACTTCTAAACCAAAAAAAAACGTAAATAGTTTTCAATCTGCCTGCTCTTATGACAGATAATAATTGATATTACCTTCACCGTGTTGAGACAATTACTCATACGCGATACCAGTACACAATTTCACACGCACTATTCATTAACAATAATTCACTGATAGAAACTATTTGTACTTCCTATCGGGTAAACTGTAATTACTGCTCGTATGAGCTTAACTAATAGTTACTCTTACTCCTTAAACCTACAGCCACATCACGTGACCCAGAACTATTTCCCTCGCTACTCTCGCGGGTCCACAGCTCAAAACTTGTTGCCACACCCTGTGACCAGACTTCCAACGCCAGGCGTCCCTAGACGTGAGTCAACTGACACACTAGTCCCCACTAGCATGCTGTACAATACCAGTACAACTGACACACTAGGTGCAATAAAGCACCTAAATTATTGGGATCGTCTCAAAGCCCTCCAAATGTACTCACTAGAAAGAAGACGAGAGAGATATCAAATAATATACACCTGGAAGATACTGGAGGGCCAAGTACCAAATCTACACAGTAAAATAACAACGTACTGGAGTGAACGACATGGAAGAAAATGTAGAATAGAACCAATGAAGAGCAGAGGTGCCATAGGCACAATCAGAGAACACTGTATAAACATCAGAGGTCCGCGGTTGTTCAACGTCCTCCCAGCAAGCATAAGAAATATTGCCGGAACAACCGTGGACATTTTCAAGAGGAAACTAGATTTATTCCTCCAAGGAGTGCCGGACCAACCGGGCTGTGGTGGGTATGTGGGCCTGCGGGCCGCTCCAAGCAACAGCCTGGTGGACCAAACTCTCACAAGTCGAGCCTGGCCTCGGGCCGGGCTTGGGGAGTAGAAGAACTCCCAGAACCCCATCAACCAGGTATATGTGGGCCTGCGGGCCGCTCCAAGCAACAGCCTGGTGGACCAAACTCTCACAAGTCGAGCCTGGCCTCGGGCCGGGCTTGGGGAGTAGAAGAACTCCCAGAACCCCATCAACCAGGTATCAACCAGTCCCCACTAGCATGCTGTACAATACTAGTACAACTGACACACTAGTCCCCACTAGCATGCTGTACAATACTAGTACAACTGACACACTAGTCCCCACTAGCATGCTGTACAATACCAGTACAACTGACACACTAGTCCCCACTAGCATGGTGTACAATACCAGTACAACTGACACACTAGTCCCCACTAGCATGCTGTACAATACCAGTACAACTGACACACTAGTCCCCACTAGCATGCTGTACAATACCAGTACAACTGACACACTAGTCCCCACTAGCATGCTGTACAATACTAGTACAACTCAGATTATCGCGTTCAAATGGTATAAAAAGTTTTCAGTATAAAAAGTCGTAATTTGAAAATGAAAATAGGTGCAGAGAGTCAGAATTTGGCTCAAAAATCACGCTCAGGAGTCAAATTTCCAACATTTCAGATATTTTGAAAACTGCAGGGGGGTTTGGGCAAAATATTGCCCATCGCCATTTTCAGTAATTAGCATATTTTCGGTATAAAGATTCGTAATTTGAAAATGAAAATAGGTGCAGATAGTCAGAATTCGGCTCAAAAATCACGTTTAGGAGTAAAATTTTCCACATTTCAGATATTGGGAAAACTGCAGGGGGGGTTTGGGCAAAATATGACCCATCGCCTTTTTCAGTAATTGGCATATTTTCGGAATAAAAATTCGTAATTTGAAAATGCAAATAGGTGCATACAGTCAGAATTCGGCTCAAAAATCACGCTCAGAAGCCAAATTTCCCACATTTGAGATATTTGGAAAACTGCAGGGGGGGGCAAAATATGACAAATCACCGTTTTCAGTAATTGGCATATTTTCGAAATAAATGGTCGTATTTTGGAAATGAAAATAGGTGCAGAGAGTCAGAATTCGGCTCAACAACAACGTTCATGAGTCAGAGTTGCGATATTTCCAATATTCTGGAAACTGCAGGGGGGTTTGGGCAAAATGTGACCCATCGCCGTTTCACTAATTGGCATATTTTCGGTATAAATAGTCGTAATTTCAAACTCCAAATATGTGCAGTGAGCCAAAATTCGACTCAAAAATAACAGTCATGAGTTAGATTTCTGATATTTCTGGTATTTTTAAAACTGTCGGGGGGTTTGGGTAGAACTGTAGGGGGGTGTTACGCACTCATCACCGCCATCTGTGTATGGCCTGGTAGTTCCAGGGCCATATATGAGTCTGTACTCAAACTCCCCGGGAATGGGACGCTAAGTAGACAAAGCTATCTATGGGTGGTGGTGTAACAGCTTCAAATGGCTCAGGATCCCTGCCTTGATTAACATGTGAGGTCGTAGCGAGTGTCCTCTGGTGATGTGACGATTCAAGACCAGGACCATCTGTTGGAGCGACAAGCATAATGTCAATGCCCGAGTGAGTTAGTGTTGCTTCTTGGTTTCTCCAGTACGCTATAACTGATGACGAGTCTGTACCCACAGCGGCGACTTGGAGCAGCTGTGGTACTGAGGATGGCAGTCTACCTTGGGCAGCCTAAACTCTCCCACCTTAGTCCCGCCTGACGACTAAGTGAGCCGCCGCCGACCAGGAATAGTGTAGTTTCTGCTAGTGGAGCAGCAGTGAAAGAATTCGGCGTATCCCGGGTCTGGCGAAGGGGAGAGACGACCGACAGTGAGGTGCCTGTCGAGGAGCCTTGCTAGCCCGTCGCTAGAGGCTCCTGCCAGGGGTGCGGTACACCGGTATTTGTCTGTGTAGAGGCCCCAATCAGCGCGTGGCTGAGGTTCTCTGTCAGCACGTGGCTGAGGTTCTCTGTCAGCACGTGGCTGAGGTTCTCTGTCAGCACGTGGCTGGAGAGTGGTAGTGGGCAGAGAGGTTGTATAGGGCCATGCAGGGCTGCATCATCCATTATAGCCTGGTTAGTTTCATATATTACCAGTGTCATCTATATACAGACTTTGTGTCTCAGACAAAACTAATTATTATATATTGTAGAGGTTAAAGAATGCAAACACACAACGGTGCATGTTTATTTTAAGAATTGGATCCCAAAAAGATGACTGAGGACCTGGTGACTGTTGTATCCAGATGACTGAGGACTTGGGGACTGCTGTATCCAGATGACTGAGGACCTGGGGACTGCTGTATCCAGATGACTGAGGACCTGGTGACTGTTGTATCCAGATGACTGAGGACCTGGGGACTGTTGTATCCAGATGACTGAGGACCTGGTGACTGTTGTATCCAGATGACTGAGGACCTGGGGACTGTTGTATCCAGATGACTGAGGACCTGGTGACTGTTGTATCCAGATGACTGAGGACCTGGGGACTGTTGTATCCAGATGACTGAGGACCTGGTGACTGTTGTATCCAGATGACTGAGGACTTGGGGACTGTTGTATGGGGACTGTTGTATCCAGATGACTGAGGACCTGGTGGGGACTGTTGTATCTGAGGACCTGGGGACAGATGGGGACTGAGGACTGAGGACCTGGTGACTGTTGTATCCAGATGACTGAGGACCTGGGGACTGTTGTATCCAGATGACTGAGGACCTGGGGACTGTTGTATCCAGATGACTGAGGACTTGGGGACTGTTGTATTCAGATGACTGAGGACCTGGGGACTGTTGTATCCAGATGACTGAGGACCTGGTGACTGTTGTATCCAGATGACTGAGGACCTGGGGACTGGGAGGACGGGGCGCCGTACTAACGGAGGAGTATGCAGCAAATATCGCCCTGGGAACACTTACCCAGGGCATCTTTTGGGGCATTCCCACATGCAGGCGCGGGCATACACTCGCCTCCTCGTCTCTGGCAGTCCCCGATGTTGGTGGGCACTGCGGTGGTACAACATAGTGTCAGAACAAGGATATGTTGTTTGTAAAATGTTTGGCTAAACAGCTTATATGCAAATTTTTACTTTTAATCATACAGCAGATTTGTTGACAATTGGGTATACTCAAGTGTAACTTAACAAGCCACAACGTTGGACTGAGAACAGCAGATGCCCTCTCACCCACAGGGTGGAAAAGAATGGAACCGCCTACCCGCCGAAGCCGTAAATGTCTAAAGTCTATTAACTTTTAAAGTACATTTGGAAAAGAATCAAGGCAAATGGGGGACATTCGACAAGCCGGCGGCTTTCTGTCCTCCTTGAGACCACTAGTATTAGTGGCTCTCGGGTAAATTGGCAAGATTCACGAAGCAGTTACGCAAGCACTTACGAACCTGTCCATCTTTTCTCAATCTTTGGCGGCTTTGTTTGCAATTATTAAACAGTTAATGAGCTCGGAAGCACCAGGAGGCTGTTTATAACAATAACATCAGTTGATTGGCAAGTTTTCATGCTTGTAAACTGTTTAATAAATGTAACCAAAGCCGTCAAAGATTAAGGAAAGATGTACACGTTCGTAAGTGCTTGCGTAACTGCTTCGTGAATCTGGGAGTGAAGCGTTGGAGTGATAATTCGGAATCAGAGATTCAGGCTGATGTTATGAGGTCATTTGTAACAGTCGCCAATTTAACCACGTTGAGAATGTGTTAATTATTGTCAGTTAATTGCATATACGTTAATTAGAACAAACTACCAGGATATAAGAGCAGCAACAACCTACCAGGATATAACAGCAGCAATAACCTACCAGGATATAACAGCAGCAACAACCTACCAGGATATAACGCCAGGAACAACCTACCAGGATATAACAGCAGCAACAAACTACCAGGATACAACGCCAGGAACAAACTACCAGGATATAAGAGCAGGAAAGCGAGGACCAACTTACCTATCCTGCAGCACTCAACACCGTCCTGCTGCTGGGCAGGACACAGGCCGGGGGCGTGACGCTCATTGGGGGGACAGGCCTCCAGCAGGCCACATATCCCGCCCTGTCGTGAACACGGGTCCTCCGGCAGGAACTGCGAGGGAGTGTCAGGAGGTTTAATAGTAGAGGAGACAAGATGTCTGAGTGTATCATGGTAACACAAGAGGGTGAGTGTATCATGGTTAATAGTAGAGGAGACAAGATGTCTGAGTGTATCATGGTAACACAAGAGGGTGAGTGTATCATGGTAACACAAGAGGGGGAGTGTATCATGGAGAGTGGGTAACACAAGAGGGGGAGTGTATCATGGTAACACACGAGGGGGAGTGTATCATGGTAACACAAGAGGGTGAGTGTATCATGGTAACACAAGAGGGGGAGTGTATCATGGTAACACAGAGGGGGAGTGTATCATGGTAACACAAGGGTGAGTGTATCATGGTAACACAAGAGTAAGTGATCATGGTAACACAAGGTAAGTGTATCATGGTAACACAAGAGGGTGAGTGTATCATGGTAACACAAGAGGGGGAGTGTATCATGGTAACACAAGAGGGTGAGTGTATCATGGTAACACAAGAGGGGAGTGTATCATGGTAACACAAGAGGGGGAGTGTATCATGGTAACACAAGAGGGGGAGTGTATCATGGTAACACAAGAGGGGGAGTGTATCATGGTAACACAAGAGGGGGAGTGTATCATGGTAACACAAGAGGGGGAGTGTATCATGGTAACACAAGAGGGGGAGTGTATCATGGTAACACAAGGGGGAGTGTATCATGGTAACACAAGAGGGGGAGTGTATCATGGTAACACAAGGGTGAGTGTATCATGGTAACACAAGAGTAAGTGTATCATGGTAACACAAGAGGGGAGTGTATCATGGTAACACAAGAGGGTGAGTGTATCATGGTAACACAAGAGGGGGAGTGTATCATGGTAACACAAGAGGGGGAGTGTATCATGGTAACACAAGAGGGGGAGTGTATCATGGTAACACAAGGGTGAGTGTATCATGGTAACACAAGAGAGTGAGTGTATCATGGTAACACAAGAGGGGAGTGTATCATGGTAACACAAGAGGGTGAGTGTATCATGGTAACACTAGAGGGTGAGTGTATCATGGTAACACAAGAGGGTGAGTGTATCATGGTAACACAAGAGGGTGAGTGTATCATGGTAACACAAGAGGGTGAGTGTATCATGGTAACACAAGAGGGTGAGTGTATCATGGTAACACAAGAGGGGGAGTGTATCATGGTAACACAAGAGGGGGAGTGTATCATGGTAACACAAGAGGGTGAGTGTATCATGGTAACACAAGAGTATGTGTATCATGGTAACACAAGAGGGGGAGTGTATCATGGTAACACAAGGGTGAGTGTATCATGGTAACACAAGAGTGTGAGTGTATCATGGTAACACAAGGGTGAGTGTATCATGGTAACACAAGAGTAAGTGTATCATGGTAACACAAGAGTGAGTGTATCATGGTAACACAAGGGTGAGTGTATCATGGTAACACAAGAGTAAGTGTATCATGGTAACACAAGAGTAAGTGTATCATGGTAACACAAGGGTGAGTGTATCATGGTAACACAAGGGTGAGTGTATCATGGTAACACAAGAGAAAGTGTATCATGGTAACACAAGGGTGAGGGTATCATGGTAACACAAGAGTAAGTGTATCATGGTAACACAAGGGTGAGTGTATCATGGTAACACAAGGGTGAGTGTATCATGGTAAGACAAGAGTGAGTGTATCATGGTAACACAAGGGTGAGTGTATCATGGTAACACAAGGGTGAGTGTATCATGGTAACACAAGAGGGGGAGTGTATCATGGTAACACAAGAGTAAGTGTATCATGGTAACACAAGGGTGAGTGTATCATGGTAACACAAGGGTGAGTGTATCATGGTAACACAAGAGTAAGTGTATCATGGTAACACAAGGGTGAGTATATCATGGTAACACAAGGGTGAGTGTATCATGGTAAGACAAGAGTGAGTGTATCATGGTAACACAAGGGTGAGTGTATCATGGTAACACAAGAGTAAGTGTATCATGGTAACACAAGAGTAAGTGTATCATGGTAACACAAGAGTAAGTGTATCATGGTAACACAAGGGTGAGTGTATCATGGTAACACAAGGGTGAGTGTATCATGGTAAGACAAGAGTGAGTGTATCATGGTAACAGGAACAATAACAAATAATAACTAACCGCTATATCATCTCGTTTGTTCATCTGGAGAAGTTGCCTGGTACTCATCTCCTCACCTATGAATACAAGTATGAGTTAGTATGTATACACGCGTGTTTATGTGTATATGTATATTAGGTTATGTTAGGTAAGAGGTTAAATAAAGTGAGGCTGGGCAGGATTATGTCTGTGGGTAGTAAGTGGTATTTTTTGATTGGTTAGCCCTTTAAATGATAGAAAACGGGTATTATTTCTCCAAAGCTTGGTTTAGATTTTTGTTTTAAGAAGTTTAGTAAAGACGTTTTTGAGACGTCTAGCGACATACTAAATAAATAATAACAATACAATATTATTTTTAATCAAAATTGGTACTGTATATTACAAAAAGTTTTGAAAATTTTGAAGAATTAGAGTTTATATAGTATACATAACCACAGTTGTCGCTTGCAAAGGCTTTAAGCCAAATATATAAAACGTGTGATGGGCTGACATGGAACAAGGCACTACGGGCTCACCATAGCCCGTGCTACTTGGAACTCTGTTCCAGGTAGCGAATCTTTAACAACAACAGACATGGAAGTTATCAATTAATAAAGAGTAAATACATTATTCAACCTCTTAAACCATCAGGGATCGAACGCCGACCTGCAAAGCACAAGACCGGTGCTCTACCGACCAAGTGGTCACTCACCAGGATAGGTCATCATGGCTCGGGCCGCCGCCACCACCACCATGAACACCAACATAGCCGCCATAGTGAACCTGTCGGAGGAAAAAACATACCTTTAACGGCTTTCAAATATAAGGAACAGGAAGCCCTTTAATATTATGGCGATCCTCATACAGAATACATCCCACAACAGCCCCCTAACCCCCGGGAGCACCACACCAGCCGGCCATACCTGTGAAGGCTTGCAGGACGCGACTCCTCTACAAGTGGCCCGGATAACCTGCCGTTGTTCCCTTTATATATGGCGGGAGTAGGGGGGGCGCTCGCCCGCTCTCTCCCCAACACCCCCCTCACCAACACCCGCACCTACACCCCCTCCAACACCCTCCAACACCCGCACGCCCACACAAAGGTGAACGCCCCACACCGCCCCTTCCAACGCTGCCGCCGGAGTCTGGGAGCCTCGTATCTCAACTTCCCTGGTAGATGAGTTGTAGAGACTCGTAGATGAGTTGTAGAGACTCGTAGATGAGTTGTAGAGACTCGTAGATGAGTTGTAGAGACTCGTAGATGAGTTATAGAGACTCGTAGATGAGTTGTAAAGACTCGTAGATGAGTTGTAGAGACTCGTAGATGAGTTGTAGAGACTCGTAGATGAGTTATAGAGACTCGTAGATGAGTTGTTTAGACTCGTAGATGAGTTGTTTAGACTCGTAGATGAGTTGTTTAGACTCGTAGATGAGTTGTTTAGACTCGTAGATGAGTTGTAGAGACTCGTAGATGAGTTGTAGAGACTCGTAGACGAGTTATAGAGACTCGTAGATGAGTTGTAGAGACTCGTAGATGAGTTGTAGAGACTCGTAGATGAGTTGTTGAGACTCGTAGATGAGTTATAGAGACTCGTAGATGAGTTATAGAGACTCGTAGATGAGTTGTAGAGACTCGTAGTTGAGTTATAGAGACTCGTAGATGAGTTGTAGAGACTCGTAGATGATTTATAGAGACTCGTAGATGAGTTGTAGAGACTCGTAGATGAGTTATAGAGACTCGTAGATGAGTTGTAGAGACTCGTAGATGAGTTGTAGAGACTCGTAGATGAGTTGTAGACTCGTAGATGAGTTGTAGAGACTCGTAGATGAGTTATAGAGACTCGTAGATGAGTTGTAGAGACTCGTAGATGAGTTGTAGAGACTCGTAGATGAGTTGTAGAGACTCGTAGATGAGTTATAGAGACTCGTAGATGAGTTGTAGAGACTCGTAGATGAGTTGTAGACTCGTAGATGAGTTGTAGAGACTCGTAGATGAGTTATAGAGACTCGTAGATGAGTTGTAGAGACTCGTAGATGAGTTGTTTAGACTCGTAGATGAGTTGTAGACTCGTAGATGAGTTGTAGACTCGTAGATGAGTTGTAGAGACTCGTAGATGAGTTATAGAGACTCGTAGATGAGTTGTAGAGACTCGTAGATGAGTTGTTTAGACTCGTAGATGAGTTGTAGAGACTCGTAGATGAGTTGTAGAGACTCGTAGATGAGTTATAGAGACTCGTAGATGAGTTGTAGAGACTCGTAGATGAGTTGTTTAGACTCGTAGATGAGTTGTAGAGACTCGTAGATGAGTTGTAGAGACTCGTAGATGAGTTATAGAGACTCGTAGATGAGTTATAGAGACTCGTAGATGAGTTGTAGAGACTCGTAGATGAGTTGTTTAGACTCGTAGATGAGTTGTTTAGACTCGTAGATGAGTTGTAGAGACTCGTAGATGAGTTGTAGAGACTCGTAGATGAGTTATAGAGACTCGTAGATGAGTTATAGAGACTCGTAGATGAGTTGTAGAGACTCGTAGATGAGTTGTTTAGACTCGTAGATGAGTTGTTTAGACTCGTAGATGAGTTGTTTAGACTCGTAGATGAGTTGTAGAGACTCGTAGATGAGTTATAGAGACTCGTAGATGAGTTATAGAGACTCGTAGATGAGTTGTAGAGACTCATAGATGAGTTGTAGAGACTCGTAGATGAGTTATAGAGACTCGTAGATGAGTTGTAGAGACTCATAGATGAGTTGTAGAGACTCGTAGATGAGTTATAGAGACTCGTAGATGAGTTGTAGAGACTCATAGATGAGTTGTAGAGACTCATAGATGAGTTGTAGAGACTCGTAGATGAGTTGTAGAGACTCGTAGATGAGTTATAGAGAGTTAAACAGACGTCTGTCATCAAGCTGTGTATTTTTTGTTATTCTTAATGGCATTTATTTTCACGTGTTGACTCACTTATGACCATTTAGGAGGTGAGTTTAAGGTAAACCCCGTCCATCTGTCTGTCTCTTGTTCTACTGTCCATCTGTCTGTCTCTTGTTCTCCTGTCCATCTGTCTGTCTCTTGTTCTCCTGTCCATCTGTCTGTCTCTTGTTCTACTGTCCATCTGTCTGTCTCTTGTTCTCCTGTCCATCTGTCTGTCTCTTGTTCTACTGTCCATCTGTCTGTCTCTTGTTCTACTGTCCATCTGTCTGTCTCTTGTTCTACTGTCCATCTGTCTGTCTCTTGTTCTCTGTCCACTGTCCATCTGTCTGTCTCTTGTTCTCCTGTCCATCTGTCTGTCTCTTGTTCTACTGTCCATCTGTCTGTCTCTTGTTCTCCTGTCCATCTGTCTGTCTCTTGTTCTACTGTCCATCTGTCTGTCTCTTGTTCTACTGTCCATCTGTCTGTCTCTTGTTCTACTGTCCATCTGTCTGTCTCTTGTTCTACTGTCCATCTGTCTGTCTCTTGTTCTACTGTCCATCTGTCTGTCTCTTGTTCTACTGTCCATCTGTCTGTCTCTTGTTCTACTGTCCATCTGTCTCTTGTTCTACTGTCCATCTGTCTCTTGTTCTACTGTCCATCTGTCTCTTGTTCTACTGTCCATCTGTCTCTTGTTCTACTGTCCATCTGTCTCTTGTTCTACTGTCCATCTGTCTCACTGTCCATCTGTCCTCTTCCTTCTCGTGTTCATATATGTAATAATATGTAGATTGTCAGTGACATAACTCCTCTTTTCGTTGAACTCTTTTTAATGTTCACTAATAGGAAGGTTAGGTTACAGGCGTGTATGTAGGGGTGAAGGGAGGGGTGTGGGGTGTTGGTGGGGGTGTTGGGGGGGGGGTGTTGGTGGGGGTGTGGGGGTGTTGGGGGAGTCACTCATCTCGCTCCAAGTACAAGCAGGTTATGAATATGTAATATCACCCCCTTTGCTTCACGTTGTGCTGTGTTGTGGGTTCGACCCCACCGACGCATTCATAAACTTGTACTTGCTGTTCATTCAAAACGGGTATTTTCTCAAATATAAATTAATATAATAATATATTAGTATATTGTGCATATATAGGCATAGGTTAGGTTAGGTGTTTAGGTTCTGTTGGCGATTATTTGTAGTACGTGGGTGAAGCATTTACAGCGTTGTGGTTCGAACACCAGTCGTCAGTGAAGCACTTGTTCCGGAAGTGTTCGGACGTCATCAGTTGTGAGTCGTGTGTGAACTGTTTTGCATTCGTAAACAGCTGGGGGGTTGGCTGGTGGATTGAATGGTCTTTGTTGACGAGGACGGGCTGCACAACTGCCAACGTTTCAATAGTTCTCTATCATTCATATTCCCCGTTCGAATCCCAGCTTTGGAAATGCTTCACCCACGTATTACAAATAGATTCAGTTGGCAATTATGTGTAAACACCTAACAACCTGATTTAGGCCTAACTATACATCATATTCTAATATATAATCCTGAATTATATATATATGGGAAAATATCAATTTTGAATACACATTATGTTAAAAATAATGTACTATGGGGTCGGCCGCCGGATGGACGAACACCCACAGGCCAGGCGGTAATCTCAATAATCCGTCAAGGGTTAAACACAGAAATAAAACACAGAACAAGAGGATATAAAGATATATATTTGACTTTTTATATATACGAATAAGTCTCACACAACATCTTCAGGGACCATGATTCAACGAGCATTTACACCACTCCTTACGAAACATGTACATCTTTCCTCTATCATGGCGGCTTTGTTTACATATATTAAACAGGTTATGAGCCCCGAAGCACTATACGAGGTTGTTTACAACCTTATATTGGGATAATTTTAAGCTCGTAAGTCGCTTAATAAATGTAAACAAAGCCCCCCCACGATTGAGAAAAGATGTAAATGTTTCGTAAATGGACACGTAAATGCTTGACCAGTTTCAGCCCTGGCTTAACTGACCTCCCCCCCCTCACATAATTCATTACATAAAATAACAGAAGGGTTAAACATATAATTAGTACAATAATCATGTTTATATATGTGCAACAATGCTAGATAAATATATACGAGCGGTGCGTGAATGTATATATATAAAACCCTGTGTATTCCAAGACTATATGTCGTATAGCTATAGTTCTACGGGGTATACTTATATATATTCTAGACGGCTGGTGAGTAATGAGTGAGTACAGCCGTGAATGTCCTTACTCATCAATAATATCCTTACTTATCATCAATGTCCTTACTCATCAACTATGTCCTTACTCATCAATAATATTCTTACTCATCAACAATGTCCTTACTCATCAACTATGTCCTTACTCATCAATAATATTCTTACTCATCAACAATGTCCTTACTCGTCAATAATGTCCTTACTCATCATCAATGTCCTTACTCATCAATAATATCCTTACTCATCAATAATATCCTTACTCATCAACAATGTCCTTACTCATCAATAATATCCTTACTCATCAATTATGTCCTTACTCATCAACAATGTCCTTACTCATCATCAATGTCCTTACTCATCAATAATATCCTTACTCATCAATAATATCCTTACTCATCAACAATGTCCTTACTCATCAATAATATCCTTACTCATCAACAATGTCCTTACTCATCATCAATGTCCTTACTCATCAACAATGTCCTTACTCATCAACAATGTCCTTACTCATCAATTATGTCCTTACTCATCAACAATGTCCTTACTCATCAATTATGTCCTTACTCATCAACAATGTCCTTACTCATCATCAATGTCCTTACTCATCATCAATGTCCTTACTCATCAATAATATCCTTACTCATCAATAATATCCTTACTCATCAACAATGTCCTTACTCATCAATAATATCCTTACTCATCAATAATATCCTTACTCATCAACAATGTCCTTACTCATCAATAATATCCTTACTCATCAACAATGTCCTTACTCATCAATTATGTCCTTACTCATCAACA